GTATCAGAGACGCCGTTCACTCTCAAACCTGCTCAATTAGGAGACTGGGCATGAGGCAAATCCGTTTACTCATATATTTCGTTTCGCGACAAGCAGGTTTGGGAAACTAGGCGCGAGGCAAATCTGTTTACTCAGATATTTCGTCTCGAATTACATTGCGACAAGCAGGTCTGGGAGACAGGGCGCGAGGCAGATCCGTTTACTCAGTTATTTCGTCTCGAATTATATTGCGACAACTACTGCAGCATCATCCCTACCGAGGCACACTTGGCAGCGATCACCGGGCTTGTCCTCATTCAATAACGGACATGGTACTTATTACTATCCATGCCAACTGTCACTACGAATACTTGGAGGCCTCACCGTGTCGGAAGTTAATATTGAATATTCATTCGCCTGTACAGTACTGGCGTCACCAAGAGATCCAGCATGCACAAATACTTTGACAACTCGATACCTAGATTGGAAAGCAAAGCAACCGTCGGGAACCATTAGTTTTGCCGCTTAGGACCAAGGGTCCAACGTTCGTAAGCGCACTAGGACTACTTAGTGCGATGCACACAATAACATTGATCACTGATGCTCATCCGACAAATACGAGAGCCCCGTGGGTCAACTCGTGTTCTAGTCCAGAGCCGAAAGTTGCACGATACCAGATTAAGAGCTTACCGCAGGCTAAGGAAGTGTCCAAGAAAGAGTTAGGCGCAAGTGATTTATGCTGCCAGAAGACTCGGATTGAAATTTTTTTTTAGCACTATGGTGAAACTGTCAACGGACCCGAAGTGTTGTGACGCGGTGTGTGATGTTAGCGCGATTGTGGACGCAGATGCTCTTTGAATGGGAAGCTGATCATAGGATATCGAATGCTGGGGTACATCGATTTAGTAGGGTGACTCGTTAACGTTGTGTTAGAAAGAAACTGGAGTCATACTTTCCTATCTCTGATCGATAAAGCCTGCCCTAATGGGATCAGATGGGCCTCATTGCGATTATCTGACCTGTGTTTTGGTTGTGCTCCGATAAAATTTCAGGAGGTGCGCCAATCAAATCGGTCATCTCATCTTTCTCCCCATCTTCCACATCCTTCAAGTTTTCAAAATGGCACCTGTGGGCAAGCTCTATTGTGTTTCTACCATGTCTCAGACCAAGACGGTAATTAGTGCACTTGTATCATTTCGCTTTTTTAATATGACTCATAATAACCCATAGATCAGGAGCGTCTGTGCATTAGCAGGTCTTGAGCTGGAGATCCCCGAGTACAAGCACTTTTCGGACAACAAGAAGCCAGAGTTTCTCGCCAAGTTCCCTCATGGAAAGATCCCCGCTTTAGAGGGCGCAAACGGCTTTAACCTCACGGAGGGTGTCCCGATCGCGCGGTATCGTGAGTCATACCATTTTCCATGTTGATTTTGATCTAGGATATCATAAGGATGAGAAGATCTACGGTTATCCCTGTCTTAATTCTATGTCGATAGCTTCATGTAATTCTGATTGTGTTATCCGTTCTCACTTTCATGTGGTGTTGTTGTGGGGTTGAAACGCATATACTAACGTTTTGATTTCAGTTGCCGGCCTTGCTCCCAACTCTGGCCTTCTCGGCTCAACACCAGAGGAGGTCGCAGCCGTTGATCAATGGATTCACTTCGCCGAATTAGAAATGGCCATGTTCACCGATGTAATTATAGGGATGGTTAATAACTACATCCCCTACAGCAAAGGCGTAAGTTAGTTTCTCGCCACCAGACTGTTCGCACTCAATGACCTCCTACAGATCCACACCATCATGGCTGAGAACCATTTGCGCAGCCTTAACACCCTCGAAGCTCATTTGAGCACCCGTACCTTCCTCGTCAGCGACCGCATCACTCTTGCTGATATCACTGTTGCGTCTGTTCTCCAGCGCGCCGTTGGCATCACCGCAGATGCCGCTGTACGCGCCAACCTCATCAACACTGTTCGCTTCTTGGAGACTATTGTGCATCAGCCCAAACTCGAAGCTATCTACGGTCCTACTGAGTACACCGAGAAGGCGCTGCAATACGTCCCTCCAAAAAAGGAGAAGGCGCCCGCCCCCCCGGCCGCATCAAAAGAGAAGAAAGAGAAGCCGAAGAAAGTTGCTGAGGACGATGATGAGGATGATGGCAACCTTGTTCCTGAGGAACCCAAGGAGAAGAATCCCTTGGAACTGCTCCCAAAGAGCACGTTCAACCTCGAGGACTGGAAACGTGCCTACAGCAACAAAGATACGCGCGGCGCTGATGGTTCGCTGGAGTGGTTCTACGCCAAGTAAGCCACACCTCTCCTTTGCTGGTCGTGCTGACTAAGGCACTCGCAGCTTTGATAAGGAGGGCTTCTCCGTCTGGCGCGTAGACTTCAAATACAACGAGGAACTCACGCAAGTCTTCATGTCCTCTAACCAGATCGGTGGCTTCTTCAACCGCCTGGAGGCATCGCGCAAGTACCTCTTCGGATCAGTGGGCGTGCTTGGCCAGGCCAACGCTTCTGTTATCACTGGTGTCCTCATCCTGAGGGGCCAAGAGTCAAAGGCGGCCGTAGACTGCGCACCAGACTATGAAAGCTACAATTACACCAAACTGGATGTATTTGGTAATCAAGAGGACAAAGCCTTCTTTGAGGGCGCACTTGCATGGGATCTGGAGGTCGATGGCAAGAAATGGGCAGATGGAAAGAACGTAAGTGTTGTTTTCTTTCTATCGTGTTTCATGACTTTTCGCTGATATCTGCGTTGCAGTTCAAGTAAAAAGTATTGATAGGCCGGAGAACGCGGGACTTTTGGGAAGCTGCAGTATTGATTTCGTGTATCATCGTGTTTCTTATATGTAGATCTTGTTACTTTTAGCCATCTGTTGACCTACGTTTGTGGAAGAGCAGTGGTTACACACATACCGTCTAGTGTTACACTCGATGCCTCTTACTTAGAAGTTGATAAGAAGATGAATGCATCGTCAAGTAAACTGACGTTACCGATCCGATTACGTACAACCAGTTTAGTCACATTGGCCTATTTCGTAGTCCGCTCGGCATCTCGAGGGCACACCCGTGTATGTTCAAGCTCCGAAGCCGCTTCATGCTGCGATCGGTCACGTCCTCATTAATTTCTTGTCCGATGGCAATCAGTTCATAGGTTTAGGGCATTCTGGAGCCTTATGATCAAGTAGCTTTATGTGGTTTTTGAATTTGAGGATGCACCAAGACTAACTTAATGCGCGAGCTAGGCAATAGTATCCTTTGCGACAAAAGTGGTGCCGGCGGATATCCACCTCGAGCTTCGATCAAACATAGCCAAGAGGTTATGAAGTCCTTTGTACCGAAGCAGTACGAAGCAAGTAAGAATTTGGATACTGGGTTTGACCATTCTGATTTCCGCAGCATCATTAAACTTTGTCTCCGCGCGAAGGTTCAATGTTCATAACTTGACATCAAAACTTTGATAGGCGAAACTTAAGCGTTAGCACACGCTTCCTTCCATCGTTGTCACCCAGACTTTAAAGAAGGAAGATGACCGTCCCTAGAATCTTTCCAGTCGTTCTTTGCACCCCTGAATGAACGTTTTCCAGCTAGCGCGGTGATACAGAAAGAACGACTGTCTTCCTCCGAGTCTATATGGTCTGACCACGGGAGACTAGTGGATAATTCCGTCCATCATCACAATGAGACGTTAGTCTGGGCGGTGCATCCCAATTCTAGCAAGGAATTGTCGAGCATCAGTATCTAACACTGATCAGCAAGCACTGCCAGTGCCTGCCATTCACCAAGTGTGGAAACAATGAGGCAACATGTGTTGCATGATAACGGTATGTGCTCCTAGATACTCCGCCATGATCAGGAACGCTAATGTTATTTTAATATAGTGCCAGCGCTACAATCACTAGTTAATCTCCGAATCTACGAGGAATACAACCTCGGGCGGTTCAAGCCTCGGTGAGTCTATTTGCAAATCTTAACCGTGGCGTGCGTACCAGCCAGTCTCTGGGCGTGTGTCTCATGCGTGTCATTTCTAACCGGAGAAGACTGGCGTACGTGAGATGTACAGGGGCGAGACACATCTCTTCTGAAAGTCCCCAGAATTTGTTCGACAAATTAAAGTAACCACGTTCAGTACCAGACATTGCTATTGTACGTCCTTTCTTTCACTGCGATCAGTATTTCTAAGCGTACATAGCCATACTCAGATCTAAAATCGAAAGTAACCCTTTCCCTCTTTTCCTTGGACTCGGTTGACAAAGTTCTCAAAATCATCTGAAGGTGACGGTTCTGATCCGCGAAGCATTCAAACTACTGACACCGGTCCCTGACAATCCCCGCATGTTGTTCACTTCTGGAATATGCATGCTAGGGTTAGTTGCGGATTTGAAAGACATGCTTTTTCATTTTCAGAGACTGAGCATGGCGCAGTACGGACACAGGTCGTGGCTCTCTGGAAAAGCCGATACTCGGAAAACTGTTTGATTGTGGAGTCTACTCTGCGTAGCAGCTAGTATAAGAGGCTGTTCAACGAAACAATGCTTTCCATCACTACTAGAACGTCTCGGAGTTCCTATATCGAACCCGATGGCTCCTAACAGCACTCTCCGAGGTGCTCCTGATCCAATCTAAATGTGTCAGTTCTGTTTTATGTTCTATTTTGATGAGTTCTACTGACTGAACGCAATCCAGATACTGGACCGCTCTGCGGTTATTCCAGGCTTACAATGAAGATGTCAGTCTTTGTACATAGGAATTCGATGTGATTTTAAGGGTGTTTTAATGCGACAACGTGTAAGTAGGTCAGACTGCCGCCCGCGCACAACCGTTACACCAAAAGGTAGAAGACTGAAAGCTAAGCTTGCAATATCAACGACAGGGCTGATTAGCCGGGCAAATTTGCCCACCCCAAATGCCCCGAACCCTAGTACTAATTATGGGAACTCAGGTAAGCCGATGTGCTTACAAAACGCTCGCTCAAATTCCTCGTCGCTGAGAATCATGAGATTAACCCTGGCAGACATAATCTTAGTTGCTGTAATCCAACGTGCCGCCCGAGCGATACTCGGTGCTGTTGAGTGAGCACCACAAGCAAACATCGTCGCGCACAGTGGCGCACTATGCGAAGATGATAGCTGTCCTGGCATCAAGGACGTCCTCGGGGAAGCAGAAGTTGCTGAAGTGTCCCTTGCACCCAAGGAAGCCACGTAGGTTATCATTATCGTATATGACAATTATGTGGGGAAGAGGAAAGGAAGCGCCTTGTGGGATCAAATGATATACTATACCTCGATCGACACCTTGACCAAATCAAGTCCAAGCGTAACTGTTGTGATGTAAGAATGTTATTCTTCAAGGCTCTCAAAGGACTTGAACGTGGGGGTGTCGTCCTTCTAGGCCAAAGGCTACCATAGTCAAGTACGATTGACGACTCCTGCTACCCTCCCACTTGCCACTTTCTCGACATCGCGACAAGTGAGACTGTACCTAGTCGTCCTCTCGACCGTACCCTCCCGATTCAATCATTCTCACGACAGTCTCGTCTTTGATCATGTGGCGATTGACGATCTGTGAGTGCAATCCATTGGGAAGAAGCAGGAAACCATCGCCGGTGAACTGTGTCGGCATCTACCTCGTCTATGCCATGCAGATGCGTTGTGTAAAGTTCCCCAGTCGTAACCACAACACTGCGAGGCTCCAAAAACAATGACAATGAAGGTGCTGGATTGACGCTACGTCCCATCCGAGTCGATCCGGGGTCAACACTCAAACTGTCTTTATCCTTATTATACTGATAGTAATGGAAGATAGTATGCGATCCTAAGGAAATAGTTGCGACGACTGGGTGATATGAGGGACCGTCTTCGTGGGGCTTCAAACTGGGTATCAATCACCGGCGTTGAAACACGGATATTTCGGATCGTACCATAATGCCTTGTCCTGGATGATACTTTCACGACGATGAGAGGCGTGTAACAATTATTCGTGAGATGAAATGATCTCACTTCGTTCAGTATAACGTGATTGGGTCCTTTGTGTGGGGATTGGTTGAAGGCGCCAAGGAGTCTGAGACGTCCTAGAACATCGGGACTGTTATCAGATAAGACGATTGAGACAGACTACGCGAAGCATGATAATCGACCCACAAATCATTCAAGAATGCAGGAATTCCTGGCGAAACAGAATGTTCTTCTGGAGGACTTCACCCCCTGTATGGAATGAAGGAGCCTGCATGAGGGATCTCAACCAGCAGCGGATGACTCTATTCACCCCATAATTGTAGTCTAAATAAAGATAACGAATTAGCCTCCGAATTGCTGCGCAAGTGGTGTGCAGTGACAAACCTGCGATTGTTCAACATCTTCCATTTCTGCTTTGGGGAATCTTTTATCTGACAACTGGCTAAGGAGCGCACTTAAGAAACTAACTGGTTTAGCTAGAACTCACCTTCCGTAGTAAGTACTGTTCCTCATCTTCGGAGATGAAGTTTGGGATATAGAATACAGCTGAAGTTCCCTGCAGGTGGTGTTCAGCAAGGAGGTCCATATTGGTATCATCTGAACCGAGAAGCGGCATCGCGCTTGGGAAGACTCAGGTTCTTACGTCATGTCCTTTCAGTACAATCTGGGCCAAATCTGGGCCACGTTTGTGCGGTGGTGCGGTTTGGGTGCGGTGAGTAGTGCAACCTACTTCCTTCACACACCGTTTTCGCTAGACAGAGAAACCACCCCGACTAGTCCTCGAACAACTAGTTTTGCCTTAGTCAGGCTACGCGGCCACCCTGAATCCATCTCACTGGGCTACTTCACATTTGGTTCGCTTGTCTTGCGACTTGTCTTAATATCCCATTTGTGATAAGGTCCTCTCCATGAACCTTCGAGAGTTCGGAGGCACGCCTATCTCCGTCAATGAACATTGAACATCTATGGACTGGCTGGATGTATTCGGGTGGCTACTGCTTCCACGATCCGTTCTCACCGCACTCCATCAGAAATAATCATGATGGTACAATTTTATGACTCACTTACGTTTCCATCCGCGATCAGTGTATTTTTATGGTTGGCGTAGGCTTCATGGCGGCAGGTACTGCCCTTATAATTCTTCGTTCGTATGGGGTCATATCAAATATTGGCTCGGGGTCAAGTTAGCCAAACATAGGTTAGTCGCATGGCATGCAGAAACATTCGAAAAAGGGAGAGCTGATTTGCTTTAGCAGCAATACTAACTAGTGTTGCGGATCTCGGATATTTCTAAACCCATATAATATCCTCGCGGGGCCCTCAAATGGTATGCAAATTACTGTCATGTGCAGCACTGCTGTCTAATACTAATACTACTACGGTTTGTGCAAAAGTCATGCATGACCATGTCCGTGCTTGAAAAGGAAGTCCTTCGACTTTGATCGGGGATCTCGCGGACACCTCAGACGCTCGTTCCCTATTCATGGTATGTTATAGGAGCCAGCCAAAGGTTCATACATCAGATTCGAAGTTGACCCCTGGATATCAACAGAACCCTTCGCGGTGCCGATAACCTGTTCCTCTCGTTATCGGATGGCAAAACGTAGCGCCAAAAACGGTTCCGTGCGTCGAACCTGACCAGTGTCCAGTTAAGTTGAGTGTAAAGCTCTATCAAAAGTGTAGCTTCGATCAACATACCCGACTTGACAGGCACTCGAAAATATTACATGAAGTAGAAGAGTACAGCCAGTGAGTCGAAATGAAAATTACCAGGCGCGGGTGCACTTCATTGAAGGTGTTGAGGCTATATGCTTCATTGGCAGCAGTTTACGACACAGGACAGGGAACCGGATATAGGTACTCGAGATCCTGAGCGAGATCCGGAAGACCGTGCATTATACATGGCCCGGTGTCGGCTTTTCGTTTCATGCGACTATCTCAATGCACCAAATATTGGGCCGTCAGACTACGACATCAGGTTGCGACCAGGTTGTTATTCGCACACAACTGTAAGTATTCAAACTTGCGATCGACGGGCTTATCGGGATCTATCCCATTGATTGGTGCCGTCACTGCCGCTGTGACCATGAAAATGAATGGCCAACAATACGATGTCGTGGTTTAAACGTGTCACTTGTTCTCCTGGGTGACCTTCCCGCTCGAGATTACGAAGTGCGGTTATCCATCATGGATGCCGTGATAATTTTTTTCCGAAATGATCGTGCTTATAAGTGATGCTTTTAAGGCGACGGAAACGCGGAGCCAGTGAGTCGGTCAGTGGGTAAAAGAGAACCAAAAGTAAATTTAAATCTACAAAATGCTTGATCAAATACTATAAACAGGAGGCTGCGTGCTCATTACTCAGGCCCAGGTGTAGCCTATGTATATCTGATAAGTCCATGTCAAAGAGATGCTAACTTTCCCCATTGGGATGCTCTTTCATTGTACGATTTGAAGAAGCGGAATCGGCCGGAAGAATGTTCCGCGACGAAGAAAGTTATAGCCACGAAAACGAGAATTGCACGAGGCGAATAAACGCATCCTGCGAGAAGTATATAGCAATGTGGCTATTTTTGCTGTTCCGAACCGCTGGAAAGAGTGATTAAAGGAGTTCTGCCTTGAATGAGATAGAATGTCATACACAGGGGTATAGACGCAGGGATAGCCCCGGCGGTTGCAGTTACCACAACTAGGTCGACTTCCATCACATTTTAGCTTGCGACCTTGATGAAGAAGAAGTGTTCAGTACGCGTATCGGTACTTTATATTAGAAAAGCACAACCTCTGCAAAATTGACAAGCCATAGCTGTCCTACGCGGGACCCGTGGGACTGTCATGTCGTCATCCATAGGGTTGTAATTATATTGACCACTAGTAGACTGAGGAGGGTCAGATGGGAGCTGCTATACGAACTGTGTGCACATACGTGTGAAGACATTAGAACTGTATTATCGTTGTACGAAGAGCGACGTCTACGAGAAGCAGAGAAGGGGAATGATGGAGAGGAAGGGCAGGAATGACTGGTGCAATTTATGATGTCCCTAGAGAATTTAATGCAGAACCAACCTCGTATAAGTCGGGTAAATAAGTATATCCATCTGTACAGCCCGTATAGCCAGAATCCGCTTCGGCGTTGTTATTTTAAATCTCGCGCTAGTATGAAAACTCATACGCTACATCGGGAAGAGATAGGTGAAGGCCCAAGATCTGACTGCGGTATCATGAGTTGCCCCCAAATGCCACGTGCCAACAAGACGATCAAGAAGACGTACGTGTGTCCTTATTTCAGGCTGTTTCTACGAAGCTTCAATCAACCAATCAAGTGGTAATGGACCAAGTGGCGAAAGGTCATGAACCGGAGGTAGACTGCCTATCACACCGATCAAGCCAGAAAGCCGAGGGTGCTCTCCACTAGCACGCCGAATCCCTGCAGGCCACGGAGAGGGTTGTGGTTAGTATCTATACCCGATATTAAAGAAACTGCCGAGTTCGTCGAATACCGTTACATAGAAGAATCCGATCTAAGATCGTCTCTTCAAGTAGTCATGCCGTAATACCAGGCCTAGGTCACCTTGCTGACTTCAGCTTTCACAGTGCAGCCAACATCTTACTCGATTCAACTCTCTCCGGTCCCGGCTTACACGATTCAGGCTACTAATCGCGAAACTTGCCAGTGTATCATCGACTGTTATCCCCGAAACACCAGATCGCTCACACAATAATGTTTGTTGAAACTGTATCCAAGTCGTGTTCATTTCAAAAGGAGTTCTCGGTGATGAAATCTCTGCAAGTGTCTCCTTATTGAGTTTTCAAGACAACTGGGCGTTAATGATATCTACCCGGTCATCAATATCTGGTGTTATGGACGCCTGTTGGCGCCCCATGTATCAAATTCTGCGGAAGATTTCATCCTGGTCGAATTTGATCCGACCCGATGACTGGACCAGTGTACCGCATACGTCTCTCTTGGACAAATGAAACCACAGCTTTCCTCGCCCAAACTTAGCAAAGTGACAGAAGGTTTGGAAGTGTAAGTGGTAGTTCTTTGCCGCATACGCGTCTTTTGATTAGCTGTAATCAAGGTACAAATAGAACCGAGATCTCTCTGGGAAGCATTTTCATCACAAGACAACACACATATGAACCGTTTAGCATTTCCTCTTCCAGGAGATGCCGATTACGGAGGCACTGGTGCGGCCATCAGGGGTTGTGCCAGTCACGAAATACAGCGTATCCAAGATTTGGTGGGCCTATCTGCACCCCAATCCACAACGGTAGGGGGATCGGGCTTCAAGAAGGTTACGTTCAACCCAAAAAGTGCGGGGAAATGAATGGTACTACTCTTGATGCATTTCTGATGCGCCGATAGCCAAGATCTTGATGGACTCCAAACGCCGCATCACGGAGCAGAATCTATTAGGGCTACCCACTGCACAGTTCTCCTGAGGGTATAGCCTGGTATCGTCCGTTATTTCGCTGTCGTGCGGTGTCGTGCGTGTAACCAAGCCAAAACCATGTTGCGATCTCATTATAGGTTATTAAAGGCCAGCGCCTGCCAGCGTTGGACTTAACGCATCGTTACTCAAGCTGACTTTGTCACCGATAATTATAACCTTCCGTGGAGGACTAGTCCACCTTGACTCCCTCTCCTAGTAGCCCGAGTCCGATTCTTCGCAAAAACAGGGTGCAGTACTAAGGTACTCCGAGTCAGCGCTTATCCGACCACTTCCCATATAGAGGTGATTGCGTGCTCGTCTCGATCTGTTCCGTTGGACCATCGACGCATGCGAACCAATAAAAAAGCCATTTGTTGCCTTGAAGCCGCTGGCAATGATTTCGGCCCCGCTGGTCCGCGGTATGATCGTGATTCATCTGATCCACGCGTCAATCTGATAAACACATTGACGACGGGATCACCCGCTTTTGTAATATGCGGGGCAAGTATATGGAGTGCTCGCCGCGGGATCGGCCCAATACATACTCCAGGCAACGTACTCATTGCACGCGATTGCACGCGATTTATCCTAGAGTGTAGCCCTAGTGAATAACACAAAAAGTATTGTTTTTGTTTCAAAAAAACCTTTCACAGGCGCTGCTTACTGCGGAACATAGTCCGTCCGTCTAGAGCGGGAAAGATTTCGTTTTCTCTTCCCAGCATCTACATCTGGTTCAGTTCGAAAGGGTTCAAAGATGGGAATGTTAAATTAATGTCGGAATTATGAGTCTCAAGGCTATGCATGTTGCTCGCCTCGACCACCGAGGGGATCACTTATCCGTCGGCACGCATCATCTCAGATCATCGCGTGAGCCGTGAGACCCTGTTCTGTTGCTGCCAATATGACTAGAATATCACGCGACCAATCATGAATTGCCTGCATACGATTCATGAAACGAGATGTATGATTGTGATCAGGTACAATGCTGAGTACATATCAGATAATATAATCAGATCATTAGTATGTACAAAACTGCGATGACTTCAGTGTATCATATGAGTGATGAAAAGATGACAGGTGAAGATGATGAGTTAAACGCGACCAAGCAGTAAAGGAGCGTTCGAGATAAATACATTAGCGCGATGTACCTACTTGCCAAACGAAAAAAAACCAGGAAGATAAATTGATACCTTGTGAGGGGGGTGGATAGATTGCAAGGTAGATAAGGTAGGAATGGCTCGGTGTCGGAAGAGATATGTCACAGGCCAGAACGCAGTAAACGGACATTATTTTGCACCGGGAGCGATCAGGCTCTGATTCGCCACCCGTCGCCCTTTCTGCGCTCTCGGCCAACGCCTCCGAACGCTTCTCGTACGACAAGCCATAAAGCGGTGGATGAAATCGAATCTTTGATCTCCTCAGCGGTAAGCATTAACTCGCCCGAATTAGAGGCAGTTCGGATAACGCTCTGCGCAGCAACCATACGACGGTGCACCGCAAGGCGCTCAACGTCTATGTCTGGCAACGGAAAGGGGACTTTCAGGAGTCCGACGACTTTGGGATGGTGTGGGGTCGGCTTAAGTGTGGCAACTTTCAGTCGGACATGATCTTGCTGTTGTGCAGAACTGTGCATCAAGTGGCGGATGCCCTGTGCGTTGCACCGTGAGAGTACACGTCCAAGGCGTCTCTGAATCCTCGGCTTCACTGTCGTCACCGGAATCGTCTGCGCGGTGAGCGCTACTTCCGATGCTATTGCTACCATCTGAACTGGTACTGTGGTGCGAGGACCTTGATTGACTGTGGCTTGTTGGTAAAGTATCGAGGGCCGATGGGGGGTCACACAAACGAGATGGTGATTGGTGAACCGACCTCATCAATAGAGGCTCGGATGCCACAACCGCACTTCCGCGGCGGCTAACGCTCCCATTCTCGGGGCCTTGCGTCGGGGATCTCCTATCAGTACGGGACTTCCTACCCCGCTCCTTTTCCTTTTTCAGCCCTCGTGACCACTCAAAACGCACCTCCACCTGCGGAGCGCTGGCTCCAGCGAGATCCCCGCGCCCATTTACGCTCAATTTGCCCATCATTCCATTCAAAAGGCCTGTGTCTGTGCCCTTCAGCCATTTACGGACCACCCAAACATACTTAGTAGGTCGGCCTTTGAGTGGAGATATTGACGGATAAAGGGAAGCTTGGATACCGAGGACAGGAGGACAGAGTGTGACAGTGGGTGACATTCCTGACAATGAAGTGCGTGGGGGGTTATCATGAGAACGAGGTACATCCACAACTTGAGGACTCGACAGGTGTATGTCATGCGATTGGCGAGACGGGACACAAGTTATGCTTGGCAAACCCTGCAAATCGGCAGCCGCCGTCACTAATGGGAGCGTTCGTGAAGACGTGTCTCTTTTCTTGAAAATCTTGGTAAACAGGTTTTTAGCGCCTCCGCGCTGGGGCTGTGCGTTGCTTGTTATGGTTTCTTCTGTGGTAGCGGGGATGAAGGTAAAGCTGGGTTTACGAGGAATATCCGTGTGCGAAGAAGGCGGAAGGAGAGTGGTGTAAATTTCGGGCGTAACAGGCCTGCTGTTCGAAGAGTGGGTGGGTGATCGAGGGAATAAACCTAGTTCTCGTTTGGGCTCATCAATGCTAGTGCGCGCGCTGCTGCTTGGTAGTAAAGTACCTGGCAACGGAACAGTGCCCCAGACTTCGATGGGTTCGAGGATAGCCAGACCAAGAATTTCCAAACCTCTCTTAGCGAATTTAGCCACTTTGGCATCAGTGCCAGCATCAACTATAACATTGGTCATGACGTTATGAGCTTGAAGATTGTAAAGTGGAATGATCATGCGACGTCCCGAGCTCGCAGTTGACGACGAATTATATGATGATATAGAGGTTGCAGAGGTGTAAGCTGAATACGAAGACGTCTCTGACTGGCCAGAAGGAGTTCTTCGAAGATCCGTAGAATCAGAAGTGGTGTCAACTGTATCTGGGGCTGACTGGTCGAGCGCCTGGACAGTCGCATGGGGTCGATCATGACGAGATTGCGGGGGTACGAGTTGAACCTGGAGATTGAGCGGGTGATTTGATTTACTCGGTGGAGGTCGCACAACAATGAATGTCTGAACGATATATTGTTGAGCCTTTCAGATTCGACCTGAACAGTATGAGACGCGCCTCATTTACAAGTTTCTCCCTCTTGTCTTTTTTCTTCGCCTTGGAATCACTAGCAGCGTAATCCAGTGGCCGAGAATCAACATCTGGCTCTGGAGCGTCATTGGTTGGAGTGTCATTATTTGGAGTTGATGGTGACTGATGTGAGCGTTGCTCCTGACTTGGTTGTGGAATGGATGATAGGAAGGAGGAGAAACTGGAGAACATGATGGTCTTACGAAGAAGGGCGAACCCGGAACACTCAAAGGACCATCAAGGAGCAGCAGGAAGAAAGTGTTTGAGTATCTTGCCAGCTTAGCGGCTATGTACGTACGGGTTATGACATTGATTACTTCATATATACGCACCGTCGGCACTGCGGCACCCTACAGCGACAAATACGGGTCACGTAAGGTCATGACACTACAAGAGCCCTGTCAACTGAGGAGCTGCGCCTGCAGAAACGTGAAAGTGTATGGTAACCGATGCGAAGGAATTACATCCCACTGCATCCTGCGGCGGCCTCGTCCAAACCTTTGCACTCCGGCGCTTAGAGTAGCACAGTTACATAAATATAGTACTAGCCTAATACTATCATTCTCAGGCTCTCCATTTGGCGATACTCTGAGAGGAGAGGAAATAATTGCTATGTCCTGCCAGGCCGCTGGGGCTGCGCACCTCAAGAAGGTTGACGCATCTAACGAGCCTAAGGGACGGTGGCAAGTGGATGAGTAAGTGTCCATGAGTGGTAGTGATGTAGTAGCGGTGACTATAGGTGGGATGTCGTGTAGGTTTGGGGCTTGATGACGTCAAGTGGGGTGCTTCGCCGAAGGTATTCGATTTCGAGTTGCCCGGCAAGTTGCAGATTCGGAGACTAACTAGTAGTGTAGACATCAGAACCCTTGCTTACTTAGATGATTGTAGAGTACAACTCACACTCCGGACTGTATATCTCGTTGGCCAAAGGACCCCCAAATTGAGTAGGCCACCACCAATGATGAGATGCGCTTGGCCCTAGCATCCACTGTGGAGACGAAACGAGTCCATCATGTACTACCGGAGATATGCGTTCGTCCGCAATGCACCAAATTCAGTAGTCTCCTTCACTGGAGAAGCGTAATTCCAGTGTCCGACTGTAGATGCGAAGGTCGAGCAACCCTAGCATTTACGCAATGGTGCGTTCTTAGAAGTCAATGACCACCAATATGCGGACACGCAGCAGGCAAGGTGCTGCAGAACTCACATCTTCAATCGACACGCTGTCTAGCCGTAAATGAGGCACCTGTATGTTACCGGTCCAACCGCAGCCCGCAGCTGGCCAGGGGACCAAACCGTAGGTACTAGGCACGCAAAAACTTGTTTGTCTGTTGGCGGCCATGTGGTCGAAACTCTGCCGACGGCATTTCCTTAATTGTTATAGTTTCGGTTGCTGACAAAGATGCGCCGGTCCGTGGTAATCGATTGTTTTGTCATGGAAATGTCCAGCCAGCAGTTGACAAGTCGGACAAACTTTGTGGGCACTCTTGTACAGTTGTGTAAGTAGTGAGAAAGAAAATGTCTGCTTGATTGCAAGTAGCTAAGGTGGAAGTTCCGAAAGGGTAACACGGCGGTTCCGACCTGTGCAAAAGTGAGCCGAGATGAGCTGCCCGCCCACACTGCCACAAACTTGGCAGGTTCGGGTAGACACCCGGGGCCCTAGTCACGGTACTAGTAGACTAGTAAGGATGTGACTATGTAGCCAAGTGACTTGAGTATGAGCATAGTAGAAAATCGTAAGGTAATAGGCTGTGCAAGAAAGGGAGCCGTGGGTGGGGAAAAGAAAATACGAAAGGTGGCAGGCTGCAGACAGGACGTTAGACCTTGCTGGAGCCTGGCACCGTGTGGTGATTAGGCGGAGCAAAGAAGCCACATGCTGCACAGCCGCTGCACGAAGTCCTTATTCTAACCCTAAACCCGTACCTCGCTTGGGGGTACACAAATGAGGACAGTCATCACTAGGCTCCCAAGAGTGTTTGAAATGACTGCGCCCAGTTGGAAGCGAGGCAATCGATTATTGGGTATCCAGGTGCTTGCATTTACCATAGATGATGCTGTGTTCGCTCTGCAGAGATCTGCGGTAAATGTATGCCATATCACAGAATTGTCAATTTAGATTGAATTCAAGATTTCTATTGAATGGTGAGTGGTTAATGGAAACAAAAAAATTAACATGGAAGTCGGGGACTCATCAGAGAGAGAGAGAGAGAGAGAGAGAGAGAGAGAGAGGAAAGAAATAACATAATCATACTGCGCAAGTATGAGATTAATGTTGAAACGCAGACTTTCAGCGAACGTGTCCAAAATTTTGAAACGCAACACTGACCCATTTGTCATCTATTCGCGGGAATGCGACGTCGTCTGAAACTTGCAAACCAACTTAATAGTACACGAGTGTCTCGTATATCTCTTGATGATCACCGACGCAGACGCCAAAGGATGCAACAATGCCATTTCCACCAAAAATGTTCGGTAGAATCTATCTTTGGTCTTGGACAACTTCGTAAGAGCACATCATTGGTAACTGAATTCGCATAGACACCGGGCCAATTTGAACGTGTATATGGTTTGAAATAGAATGACTCGGAAGTTATAGGTGCGTCGTTTGCAGTCCCGAAGACCTGGACCAGACTCCCATTCAACTTTGAATGATGGATTGGGCCTTGTATGAACTGCACTCTGAACAACTTGACAAACCTGGACTGCAGTAGTTCGCATGAAAAGTTTCCTGCAACTTAGAAATGAGAATTGTGGGCGTTTATGCATAACCCCATCAGACCACTGACTTCGTGCCCATAACAATGTCATGTATATTAACATGGTACTGGGGCAAAGTACTGAGTCAGTGTGTCATCAGCAGCAAAGGTGCTGCTCTAAACATTCGCGTTAGCCACAAAACATAGCAAACACTGGGAGTAGACATACCGCGCCTTGTGCCTAGGTAACTCTTTTATCCGCCGCAAAGCCAGTGACAGCAAGTGCACGCCAAGCCAATCGTCCGGAAGTAAATCAGTGCGGCTACACCATTTGTGACTGGAAGAAAAGATAACAATGGAAGAGTCAGAGAAAATGGGCGTCATCTATGAAGGCGGTAGGCCATAGAATAGCTTGATACATCCAGTGTGCCATCCTAAGACAAGACACCAGGGTGCGCATGACAAGAATCGACCATTCGAGATATTTTATGTCCAGAGACCTGTATGGACACTGTCTTTGCTGAGACAAGACCCGACAAGGAGTGACCACTGAACATCAGATCTGGGAAATGTCAACACATGGAGCCTGTCGTACAAGCCAATAGTAAAACAAGATCCGCTAGCTTGCAGACATAATGGAATCTAAACAGCAAGGCATGGTGTTGAAGTTAGACCAACGAGATACTCTGAGACGATAGAGAAGGTCAGATAACCCAGTGTGAAAATGACCATCATGCATTACCGTCCCCAGGAATAGAATCAAGCGGCAGGTCATGGCAAAACAAATGATGGAATATATGTTTTACGATGAGGAGCCAGGTCTGACAGAAGGTAGAGTGATAACCTCATTCCTTGGTCGTTCCTCGTCCTGATCCAGGATCACACCATCTACTATCCCAACATCTTCGTCGTCCCCATCAGTCAGAAACTCGGTAGCAGATGGACCGTCGTCCTCGGAGAGGCGAATTTGACCTTCCGGTCTTGTCCACGTTTGTAGTCTGTGTTTGTATAAGTCCAAATTATGTAGCACAAACTCAACTGAATGATCGCACTGGTGGGATACTACTGCACGCAGAGTACTTGCACGACGCCAAAGCAAGTAAAGCAAGCACAACGTGGAAGTGGTGAAGAGGAATATTAGGACAAAATTTCCCAATGGCTGTGGCTTATTGCCTTCGCGAGGTTCTGTTTGGAGAAGCGAGATTAGCGTTGGGAAATAAGGCGTCTGATTTTGTGGCTGACCTCCAGGTGCTACTAGTACGATACTAGGTGCCATATCCTTTAACGAAACAAGCAGGGGGAAATGGGAAGAAGTGAATGAGTATTACTCAGTTATAATTACTCCCACTGAACAGTTCTCTCTTCAAGCTTCAAGCTTCAAGAGTCAAGATAGGTTCACCAACCGATTCAGACGTCATGTGACTACTACCAAGCCAGCCTTAGCCAGGGTAATAACAGGGTGATCTATGTATATATAGCATCGAAAAGCGATATACATGCAAGACCAACGTTGGGAGGTATGTAGAGATTTCAGTTGAACCACAACGAAGCCACGACGACATATTGCCTCATTATCTGAATCAGCTCTCGTCTCATGCATATATCCCTCAGTCCGCCCTGAAAGATCGAGACACCGACATTGGTCAGATTTTTATAGGGAAATGCCCAAGATTAGCCCACAAGTTCAACATGAAGTTTTCTCCATGGATCAACTTCGAGGTGTCTGGTCAAAGCGAAATTGTGGCGGCTTTGATCCCCCAACAGATTGGCAACGTGCTGTGCTCCTCCGGATCCGCTGATTATAGCTTCCCGAGGCCTGAAGTCTATCCTGTGGGGTAATCACCAGATAACATCCATTCAAAAAAATTTGTTGTAGAAGGACAATTTAATCCAGGACACACCTACCACGTCCGTCATACATATATAGGGTGAACCATATGGACAGTCCAAGCAGAGGCAGAGCGCAAGGGCGCCAATGATGATATGTAGATACCAGCCAGGTGGGCCCAAGGTATCCAAATAAGTATGCATGCAGATTTAGGAAGAGAAGGAAATCATTAACACAGGTATACGTGCAAAAATATAGAAGCATGTGGGTGGCGTGCTATGAATGAATAAGTACGTGGGTAGCAGTAGTAGTGGTCCATGCATCGAAAATATTAATGCTTATCGTATGGCGGACTTGAAGGTCATGTCACTACCTTCATTTTTGTCCTTGTCATCGGGCGCGGACCACACCCTAAACATCTTAATCGTCTCCTCTTGGGACTGACAGTAAATACAGAACATCCGTCAGGGGCCATACAAGAGTGGCCCACAGGAGCGGAGTGTGCTTTGACGTTAACAATTTGTTGGCAGGAAGGGTAAGAATGAACGGCGAGTGAGTTTTCTACACCTACGGGTGATGCATGAGCTGCCGGGTGTACGTTACTTTGGGGTACAGCCCACGAAGATCCGTGGGTGCTCAAGAGCTCCTTGCAGTGGAGGGACCAGTGCAAAGATGTGATAGTTGTCTGTAAGGGGATGGTATGCACAGGGCCAGAGGACGGGGCCATCTTTCCGGTATTCCAAATGTGTATTGCACCATCGGGGGAACCCCCTCCAGTTGCCAACAGGCCATGCTGCCATGTACTCCATGATAAGGCCTTGAAGAAAATGTGATGACTACCGCGGAAAGGTAATCTCATTGTGCTACATACCTTGACCGGACCTTTGTGTTTCATCCGGATATTTTTGTCCCCATTCGTTAAAAGATTACTTGCTCTATGGTCCCATATGTGGACAATACCACTGTCATCCCCTGTAGCCAGATGGTGTCCATCAATCGACCATTTTACACCGTGTACTCGGCGTTTATGGCCCATAATGTTGGCTATCTCAGCCCGCATCCGGATATCGAACAGAGTCACATTGCCGCCAGCTCTGCCAACGGCAAGAACATCACCATTCCAGTGCATGCCTCCCATGCCATGACCATCATCGACCCAATCTACGAGCTGCATTCCTTTCTCAGCATCCATAACTCTAACATCACCAAATGTCGTCCCAAGGGCGAGGAGATAAGGTTTGGCTTTGCCACCCCAATCAATACTGTGGACCGTCCCGTCTGAAAGCGAGGAACGACATAGGTGAACCACTGCCCGGGATTCAAGGTCCTGAAAATACACGTCATATTTGAAAGCAACCCCGATGCAGTTGGCATGCGACCATGCCATTGGAGAGGCAAAAAGGTCCGTAGACATCCCAGGTCCATCGAGTGCTAGTACAAAATGGTTCCGAGCCCCTAAATTGGCCTTTGCTGAGAGCAAAGATGCAGCACGCGAAGTTGAAAACAATTCTGAAGCACTTCGGCGAAGCAATGAACGAAAACAACGGTCTGAAAAGAGTGAGGGAGAGTTGGTGGGACTTAATACACGGTCGTCAAGTAGACCGAATGTTTTGGCGATACGATTTGTTCTCGGTGTAATATTCAATGGCAATGACGTTGAAGTTCGGACTGTCACAAATCGGTCTCCCTAAATCTCCTCTGTGTAGCATGATATGTTGGCTAAGCAATGTTCTTACGTTTATCTCCTCGATTGGAGTCTCCGGTACTGATGGTCTTGCCAAATCTTGTCCCAAGTGAAGTGAAGCCACGGAAACCCGCCTTCGCTTCCGGGTTGAATATGTGCTCGAAACACTAGCGCGTGATGGAGTGCGCTTTATCGTGGCACACGTTGGGGTGATGGGTTCTGTAATACTGTCATATTTACTGTGGATTTCATTAGTTCCCGCCTGTAGATAACACGGGAATACAAACGAGGACATGATAGTTTGCTGCAGTATGAAAGAAGGGAATCCAGAGAGTGAACAGATAACTTCTTCCAACTTCAGCCAAAATCCAGTGACTCTTGGTCGTGACGCGTTGTCCGTCGTTGTTACGGTTAGAAAGGCAGCCAGCGGATAGTATCAGTGTTTGTTTGAGTCTAAAGATACAACCAAACAACCGCATTCTATATGATACGGTTGTCACACGGGCTACGACAGCGTCATTTCAACCCGAAGTTTGATTCAATTGACTCCCGCGGGCTAGTTGGCAAGCACCGCTGTCATTTGAAACAGTTACTCCCTGGGCTTATATCTATCATACTATCGTCGCACCACTGCACTGCCAATACCTACCAAGTTTCCCGAAGTCGGCCACTGAGTCACTCGGACTCTGAGTCGGATGTTAGTTTTTGCGACACCCGATACGACACAGCCTATACTTCTTAACGAAGGGCGCTGCTGGTTGACAACTTTTTGGGCCACCTTCTTTGGTTTTTACAGATAAATACTTGGATATATAGTATTTGAATCAAATGTGAATGATTGGCAGAATCGTGATGTCGGGACCATCATGCTATCGTAAGCCATTCCAAGTCCGAGTCCACACGCAGCGCCACTGTTGTACACTTTGACAAGATTGGTTAAAAATGCGACTTCCTTCTAAGGCGTAGTTGTATTCTGGTGTCGATCGCTGTGGTAGTCCTGGCCATCCAGTGAAAGGACAGTGACGTGCTCGCTTTAAGCTTGTACATGTACAATTGTGGCGGGTCATATGCATCATCACCGAAACCTGGCAATTGCAAGTTATGTAAACTAGGGATCAGAAACTACTAGTATCGCAAAACGCCGTCAACCTCATGTCAAGTGATTGGGCCCCGCTGGGCTTGCAAAGTACCTGCCAGTACGTACGTTGAGTTCTGAAGACAAATGTTCATCCTGAGCTGGGCTGTACCGTGCGAGTGAAATGATAGCATAACCACCCGAACATCTCTAGTAAAATCTATAAACAGGGATATCTTGTACACTGTAATTAAGACATATGTACAGGACTCGGCAAACACACAATCAAGACCATCGAGATTATCTCCGCAATGCCCACTACCTCGCGACATCACTGACACGAATAGCGGTCCAATTAACACTTCATCCCATAGCTGCTAGGTTAGATAGCAGCAAAGTACGAACGAATTAAATAATTTCCTTGAGATCAAATATAAGGTGGATTTGACGTGTGGATCTAGACCCTCCAGATTGAGCGTGGATTGATCCACCGACATGCGTTCTGTGAGTTGTGACTCGTGGATCATTCATCATCCCTTGGGAGAAGGAGCTTCCTCTTCGGGCGCTCATACGGGGTGTGTTGTGAGGAACGCCGTTTTGGATTGTAGGGTTCATCATCAGTAGGGACGATTTGGTCAAGTTCTTCAAAGCGGTTTTCCGATTCCGAACAATCAAGAGGTGCGATTAGCACTTTGCGACTGATCTTTGCACGTCTTCTGTGGTTTGGATCATGAGTGACGGCGGATTTCTTCCGTTGCTGCTCCGAGTCTCTGAACTTGAGCAGTGGCAGAACGTCTGTACGAGCAAACTCTCCTGGTGATGTCATCACCGACCAGACAAATCGCATCATGGCCAGCTCGGGAGTGGTGTAAACTGGACGCCCAGGAGAAGGCAGACGAGGTATAACGTAGGATAGGGCATCACGGGCCCTAGAGCCAAGTGGGGTGTGTGGTGCTATCATTCCTGACCCAAAAGTCTGCGCCAATTCAGCCCAGTGAGATGTCTCGGCCTCGGCTGCTAGCTTGTCGTGATCCTTGTAAAATTGAACACCGGAAATATTCAGGAAGCGAACACCTTCCTCAGTGATAAGGATATCGTGAGGGAGAAGAGATCCCAATAGAATTCCGTGTCTCTGGATATCAGCTACTGCTGCGAAAACAACAGCACGATCGGTAGGACACACACGCCCTGTATGAAATGAGCGCGAACGACGGCATCAAGTATAACTTCAGCTTACGTCCAATAATGGGCTCACACATGACACCAATGATCATCCCACTTTTGTAAACGTGGGCGAGTAGTTTATAAGTGTAATGGCTGACACCAGCCTCGTTCATGAGCTTATGCCCAAGACTCTCTGCAGCAACAAATTGAGACCAAAGTGCGTGTACGCCCATGAAGAGGTCGACTTCCATTCCTGTATGAGGTATGAGAATCATGTTCAAGAGGGCATTACACTACATGACCTTCGTGTATTCCCTCCCATAAAGCGCAGTCCACAATGCGAGTAATTTCTATATCATCCAAATTTACCTTCTTCGTCCAAACCGGGCATTTCAAACGAACAAACTCCTTTCTAGTGTAGATCAGGCTGTAGGTATTGTCCTTGGTGATCGTTTGTGAATAACGAAATGGAGGATGATTTCAGTTACTCTCACCTTTTGCCTCACAAGATGTGCCCAATTGTTCTCTGTACCAAACTGCAGATTATCGAGCATCGTCTGCAGCACTTCTTGCAGGTAATAAAAGGCCTCCTTGTCAGATGAGCCTAAGTTCTGAGTCGAGGGTGATTTTAGATAGTCAAAGCCAGGACGACGATATGGTTCTGCTTGGATAGATAGGACTTGGCCATTCTTCCACAGATGGTAGAAGCGCCCCAGCTCGTGTTCGGTATAGCCGCCTATACGGAAAGTGAGATTTTTGAAATCGGTTGTGCGCCTGAGTTTGCGGATGGTGAGGTCCTTCTACGGGCGGGGCTCAGTTCTGCAAAAAATGTGGCGTAATAGTTGGACCTACACTTGCGTACTCCATGTCGGTGACTTTGAAAGAGCAAACACGTTCCTTCCCTGCTGTGTTTCATGAGATGATCGATTCGATAATGGTTAATACTAGAGTTACCCCAAATGGATGAGATGAAGCACGTGGCAGTACATATACTACAAATATTACGTTCGGTTCTCCTTCGAGACGATTTTCAATACTGCATGCTCAAGTGAGACTGAGCTCACCGTCCAAGCGAAATGACTTCGCTTGGACTGTCTATGTTTGGCTTTGCTCATGAAGTCGATCTATCGCATTAAATGGGCGCGATCCAGCACAACCTGTATAGTATACGCCAGAATTATGGTAGTTGGATGTCTTGCCCGCTTTCCCGAGGAATCCTGACAAGCATCATCCACCCGACGCCACCGAAGCTCGTTGCTTAGCTTCACTGCCCTCGTGAGTACCAAATACAATCAGTTTTACTTGGTCCCCGAAGAGATAATTATCTCAATTCGTCGTCACTCCTCTCTACTTTAAAATGTGCGGTGAGTCGACAGTAGCACTCCATTACTCCTCGCAAGAATATTAACGATGTGCATCTCTCAAGCCTACTTCTGTTCACTCCACCAGGTACGATTCTATGTACTTGAGCCTTGCTCTAAGGGCATGGGCGGACGACCATGTCCATCCCCTCGGGTATCGGAGGATGCGAAATTTAGCTTGCCTTGCGTCAAATGCCGCGGCCGCTGAGTACGTCTTCCCCGATTATTTTGTTGCATTTCAATTGATTATTATTCATACAAGTCGATTTATGCAAGTGGGGACACTTCATCATCGTAGCTGACAATCACCAGGCACAAGCTCCTATTAGCCACGCACGATGCGGCTTGACATCTTAATCTGGTGATATGATGTCACCGGGAACACGCCACTCGATATATGCGTGACGGTCTGATTCATTTCATTTATTCTTACTCTATTTCAGGTCCCTAATTTTGCCAGCAATATTGTCTAACTTTCTGTGTAGCATACCGCCCAAGTCTCAGATCTAACCAGTGAGTACGAATCCTTGATAAGCAAATGCACGTTGACATATGACCTTTGACAAGACATCCACGAATAATTCCATCGTCCTCCTAGACCCCAACCACTTGCCTGTATTATCTGCCCCATCCCTCAGTCTGTATCCTTTATGATCTATTTAACTAACGCTATAGACACCAGCGTAGACATCATATTTTACCTACTCGCCCATAATCATTAATCAGCTCCCTTTTTTCATTTCACCCAAGATCTTCGTTCTGTCACTCAACAGTCGGACTCATCCTGGACAGACCGGCAAACCTTGTCGTAAGACTAGTCCAGGTGAGATGCACGCGCTCTGGTTTCGCCTGAATCTGGAAGAATGTAAGGATGCTGGTAAACTAAATTCATAACTAGATATCAGTATATGATGATTCCATCATCTCCGCCTACTCATCACGAAACAACCCTCATAACCATTGGCATCGGGGAGACTGAGTGTATCTCGCCAGCGCCCCGAGAGGCTCCCGTTGATGCTACCGACCAGATAACCCCGATAAAGCCATTGTCCTCGATCGCCTTCGACCTAATAAACAGACGAGTTCATGCACGATACATAATATGAATTGAGTAGACGTACATATTCTTTCAAAAAACTAACAAAACCGTCGCAAGGTCGTACCCTACCAATGAGATTGAATTGGCCCCAAGCAGAATGACCCTGGCAAAAAAATGAGAACAGTTTAAGATAAGTAAATGATTAATGACCTCTCCTACGACAATAATATCTTGAATATCGAGGCCCTCGGCTTCCACGCCACAAGCCGATGGCTGTCTGTAGGAAAGTGGAACTATTTTCCCGGGCTCGTGCACCTCTGCACTGCCTGCATGCTCGTGAATACGGATGCCAGATGGAAAAAATGCCTTGAGCGGATCACCCGAGCTCAGCGGTGGTAATTCTAGACCGCCAGCAATGCCATCAGCGCCCCTCGAAACAGTTAAGTAATACTCTCGCAACTTCCAGGTTTGACGGTGCTGCGCAACCATAGAGTTATGGAGGATCGAAGGTGGGCGTCCAGACAGGAGCGCAGCATAGGTAGTGAATTCCGTGTACTAAAGATACCTTGTTTAATCGGAGGGTTTCAGGCTTGTGCTATGAATCGACATACCGTAAAGACACCTTCCCACACACCTTGTAGACTGCCCACCTTATATGCACCTGAGAATTGGCTAGCGAGAGGGCTTCTAGCAAGATTTATGCACCTCTGCCAGTCAGCTTCCCATTCAAGACTCTGATTCAGAGAGGATGGAAAGCCGTTCGGTGTATGTAGTCCTTTGTAGACAGCCCTTGCTGGACCCACAAGAGGACCCACCAAGCTGAGGTAAGAGAGGATTGCAGGAATAGCCATCGTCGGTGGAGTTAATTGATATGGATTAGAATAGTGATTTATGCACGTAGGCTCAAGCAGGCAGAACTTGGGGATGAAGTCCTCCCATGGAGTGTGACATATATTATACTTGAATTATCAGCAGGTGCATGGAGGTAGAAATAAGGACATACCCTGTTGGCTGCCAAAGCAGTCGGTTTCAAAACGGTTGCGAAAGTCCGATAATTTCTTTCAGTACGCTGGAAACGGTCTGTGAATGAGGGTTAAACAGAAGTACAGGGTGGAGATAACCCATACGACGCACCGGGTCTGAGAAACAACCAAAACAACCACATTGCCAGAGAATTGTGCTCGTTATCGAGCAGCCACACATCTTCCAGGAGCGCCTTCGAGGCGAGCGATGCACCCTTATCATCGAACCAATACTCCATCAACCATTGCTCCATTCCAGCGTATTCCCTCAGTTGCTTGACATTCTTTCCGTCGTTTTCAAGCATCATTAGGTAGGCGAGCCAAAGCAACTCGCTGATCATCGGCGAATTCGACATGTCTGGTGCACTGTGTGCACAGATTCGAGAATCTGTCCGCGCCCGTATTCGCTTCAGGTAAACAAATCTCTTGCGCAACTCCTTCGATAAGACATCAGGCGTAGCGATATGCTGGCCTAGACGACGAACGGCGGCCCTGATATCGAATTTATACTCAAATATGCGTGCGCAAAGATGTAGATTTGCATCAAGTGATAGAGCATGATATATGCTCCTGCAGCTTAGAAGTAAAGGGAGCAGGTCGGAGGGAGGTCCTATATCTGTCGTTGTTGCTGCGAAGAAAGCAATGTTCTCCATCACCTCCTGAGGGAAGCCAGTCAAACGCAACGGCTTGAGTGGACATTATGTCGGTCGCAGTGGCAGTGAGCATAGATTGTTCAAAAAACACTGTAGTTGTTGAGTTGTTGTGTAGTACCGGTATGTCCTGCCGGGCCGCCGTCGGCCAGTCTTTTCCTTAGCAGGTGAAGTTAACCCAAACACTCGGTGTGAGAACATGTATTTTATACTAATAGGTATTATGGCGATGTACAACAATTAAGGAGAACGCAAATCACATTGACGCTATTCCCATGACATGTCTTTGCACAAACTGAATATTGACTCCCATTCAGGAGGATGAACGCCGCTGGACACACGTCTCCAGCGACCCACAAAGTTGCGAGAAGAGATGACTAATGCAACCTTGTCAGCGACTACACACCAATCGTTTGAATCGACCTAACGCACTGTAGCCTCTGAATAACGCTCGCCCAAGTTCAACCATCTGAGGGTCCAGCTACATACTGCTTGAGCGTAGAAATGACAGCAGACTAGCGTTCCTTACTGGTTCACGGAGAAGAACGATTAGACCATCTGAGGGTCGTATCCGTCCCATGTAGCGGTAGCCACCCCAAGCAGCTGCATATCGATCCTCTGTCTGTTGAACAAATTACTATATACGAAACAGGAAGGATTTTATGGCGCATACCACTCCTGTAATGATGACATCAAAAGCACCATGCGCACTTGGCTTTGACTCGCCGGCAATGCCTCCGACGAGGCCAATTTCGAGGTGCTCTTGCCTCGGTGGAGAATAATAGGCCTTGAACGACGCGTTTTTTCCAGTAAATTCAATCCCTGTCTGTTGAAAATGTCAACCTTTGCTCAAGAACTAATGACAGGACTAGCCTCGGTCTCATGCCACCGACAGCCGATTGGCAAAAATGCATTTTCAAATACGCCTTCATTGCCTCCCAAGGGGAGGGGGATTGACGGAGAGTAACAGTAAAGCTCTCTGAAAGTAACATAAAGAGGGAACCGGCCAAATGTTGGAAAAGGTGACGGAGCAGAGGGAGACGATAGCATATCCTTGTATACATCATAATATGGGGCCTATTCATATTAGTCCATGTGTGGGATGAACAAGTACAAAACTCAACAATGAAAGATCCCTGCCAGCGACCGGAAATCGTACCAGGGATATATTGTCCAGGTAAGGAAGAAGGGGAGCGATAGAGAGGATCACGAATGGAACGCGTCCAATCAGGATCATGTCGCCGGCTCTTAAGCAGAGTGTCGAAGCGGTTGCCGTACATCGTGCCCGGAAAATGAGTCTTGCAACGAGTATTAAAGTATACTATGTCCTCCTTTGTAGGCCCTGAAATACTGTTCGCGACAGCCTCTGCTCGAGTCTCTGGTAGATGTGGAGGGATCATAAGAGGGCGAGTCTCCAAACGAGAAAAGTGAACGAGGATAGCATATGGAGCAACAGGTGGAAGGTTGAACGGTACTGGCCGCCCAAAGTAGCATATGGTAGTTGAAACTGGACGAATGGGAGAATATACCCCATAAGCAGATGTGACAACAGTCTTGGGAGAATTTTCCAAAGGACAGAAATCGTACTCCAGCCCAGTGAAACATGGATACTGGAAAATGTGTTGTAAAAATATAACAAGCATAATTAATAGAGAACGAACTCGAAACCCAGCAAAGGAGTATGGTGATAGCAGTTGCACGAACTCTCTCCTGAGTTCATCGGTTTCATCGCATATGGACTCTGCGGAGGCATGATAATCACGGATGCAGGTAATGAAGACTGGGTAAATACTAACCTGAGCAGGACATCAACCAGAAGATGGAAACCGCCAAGACATTGACCTCATTCTCTGTGGGCCATCCTTTGTTATTCTCGGCACCAACCATTAAACGTTCGCGAAGGAAGCGCGTCATAAAAATTGGAAGTCGAGCCCAAAGTAACTGGTCCCAGTTCCGACCATCATCCTCCAGCATCATAATATAGATGGTGGAGAGGGACTCTAGGATGTCAGGATCAGCAACATCGCCTCGCCGAATGCGTTGAAGTGCTCGAAAACGTTTCCTCAGCTCATGCTCTATGTTATCGACTGTGAGCTGACCGCCTGAAAATGTCTCCAAGGAGAAAATCTGTCCCTGAATAACATGAAGTACATATATGAGTTTGACTCAGGTGAAAGGGCACTGTTAGCCATGCGGCACGTTAATCGTAGGGAACGCAAGACACTTGGTGGGCCTTGGAGATGCTGGCGAGCTGCGATTAGGACGATTTGTTCTAAAAGCTCAGCTGGAGTCGTGATAAGAGAGGCGGACATGCTCGAGGAGGGACAAAACTCGAAGAATGACTCTGCTTTTCAGTGAAACGGCGACTTGCGAATCATTGCTTGGAAGGGTATAGATTGGCACGAGATTCTCATGTGAACAAGATCGCAAGGGCGCTCCGCGAAGAAGCTATGGTACGGTCACTGATATCATTGGAAGGCGAAAGTAAGCCGCTCATATAAAGGACGTCAATATAATTCAGTCTTGTTAACCAACTTACCGGTTATATCCGGAATGTGATTGCGCCATGCTGTTGGAACGCATATTACCTAAATAGGAAAAAAGAATCTCAGATTAAACTTTCGGTACTAGTGACGAAGAACGCACACGGGTTACAACACGCAGCAAGAGGATCACGGTATGCGCAGCATGTCATGAGGTCGTATCCGAGGCGCACTAGTAATAGTAAGTGCCATCATCTCGGGTACTTCCTTCGATAAATAATACCAGTTATTAGACTGAAAACCTTTTGACTCTTACTAATATTAATGTCTCCATACGGTAGGAGCTCGTTGAATATCGCGGACTCCGTACCCTGGCCGCTCCCTGTTACGTGCAACGAGATGACATTAAATTTCTTTCGATTGGCCGACCTTTGGCCCTACAGGGCTGCAATGCCAAAACACGTGAAATGATTCAAGGCGACAAGAGGCGGCGATAGGAAATATGAGCATAGGGTGCCCGACATTGGTAGGCGTAATTGCTCAAGCGAGAGTTAAACTAACAACTTACCTCATGCTTTTTCGGACCCATAGCAGTGGCGCCGTGCCCAATTAACATGGCGTTTTCCATCCTGATCAAACGATTTTGTCTGTACCTTGGGCCTGGATCATCATCCCGAGATCTCGACTCCGTATAATTCTTCGACGAAGCAGACGGTGTTGCACTACATAGGCTTAGTGGACATGGGTTCCCCATGGGGCAGGACCTTCGCTTCCGTCGAATTGAGCTCCGCGCGCCTTGTGAGTGAAGATACAATTCGACAGACATACAATGTACGATAATACGCACTGACCTCAGTGCAGGCGGGTATTTGAAGTGTTCGATTACCAGAAGTGCATTCGGAGATAATCAGCTAGCAAAAGAGAACAATTCGCGGCTCACTGTTGAAACGTTAATGTACGGTTTAGTCGGCGCGCGAACTTTTACCCGATGTCAAGTGGTATACTTGAATGATATATATTGATAATATTAAACCATTCAATTGTTCAGTCCCGATTACCCTCGGGGAGGTAACTTGTTAAAGAAATAATGAGTTCGATAATTATTAGAGTTCGACTCGGACAAGCCTTCCGTCCCGAGATTCGCTTCGAAGACTCCGAGGACCGAGTCGGACGCGTCCTGGTTGTATATCAATTGCATATCTACGCTTATAGCTAATTACATAGCTAGAACATCATCCCGTTCTTCAATCAGTCATCATTCCGCAACTCTTGGGCACCTCCTCGTGTCATCTTGCGGTCTACACTAAATCTGGCCTCTGCTTTTCCCCTCATCTTTTACACCCCAGCTCCACTCTCTCGTCAGTGCCGATCCAGATGACTGCAAGTACTATGACGGGCCTGTCAGCAAAGTTTTCGCCCGCGATTCAGGGTAGACCAACTCACAATGTGTTATATTGCATTTGCTACAGGAACCCGACTGAGCGTTTACTGTATGACTCATGACAAGAATCAGCTAATTCGATACTCTCATAGGCACACTACTGCTGTGCCGCATTTACGCCCCTCCGCCCGGTAAAAGTCCACGACTCCTTCTGCCATCGTTAGTGCATGACCATGATGGAAAATGGAATCAGATGACCAGTTCCCATCGATGTACTCTGCGACCATTGATGAAAAAAAAAACATTGCATCTATGCACGCTGCTCTCACGTCATTGGAAGCAAAACTCGCAAGAGCAAACCTTTGTCCTGAAGGTGGGATCACTGTCATTCCCAAAAGTATCGCCAACTTCAAGTTGCAACGAGGCATAACAGTCACTATGACTGGCGTGAGCGGATGTAGGGCCAATAACAGTATCACCATCGACACTTGCGCCAGGACTTCTTCATGCCCATCTCAGCCTTCAAGGCCACCGTTGAATAATATGTTCAGCTGAAGGGGATAATCCACCATTACTAGAGTTTTATCTCACGAAAAAGTTGCACGTAAGATTATGTGGTGATATAATCATCCCTTCCGTTCTTGCGACGCTTCGTCAACACGCAATACTTATTGTCAACGTTCAGGACCATGGCTGTGAGTTTAACCGCTTTCCTTTTCTATTCCTTGTTGAGATGTTAACTTTATGTTCCAAAACAGGGTCTTTCTTAGGACTCAGCTTAACTATTTCGAGTACTTCCGTGGGACAGACTCTCAACATCATGGGGTCATGACGCAAGGTTTTGGTCCAAAGCCTTAGTGCAATTCGCGACTTCCTAACAGCGCACGTACCACATGCTTCCCGCCACAGTCTCGGATAAAACGTTCTGGTCCGAGCATGTTCGTAAAACACCCAGCCGCCACTGATCGTGGGTCAAATGGCACAATCTCTTCATCGATACGCCGGCAGTACGTATCACCAAATCCCGAGGTGATAAGTAGGCGTTTCAGCGCCTTCGTTGTTGGGCATGTGGATGAAGCTCCCCGCACTAATAGGCTTCATACTACGCCCAGTCGAGTAATTTATCTCGTAGGTAAGTAGAGGCACGAACAGAAAACTGCCACGAATGCTGTACCACAGCAATTCTCGAGATCTAGGATACAGAAGTATGTTACAACTCCTTAACGCACGTTGCGGCTTACGAGAGTCTTTATCGTTTCAGCACTTCTGCGATTCTCATGTCAAATCTGATGACCTCCTGCTTGATATCAAGATGTGTTCATATGCGTCTCTCACAACTCGCCAAATACAATGTTTACCACCTTGTCACCCTTCACACGTTACCTTTCACCTCAAGGCTTCATAGATGAATGGTCGCACCCTTGCAAGCATGCAGACGAACGACTATGAGGAGTCGTGTGAATGAGTCTCGATGACTCAAAACTCATTCACACGACTCCTCATAGTCGTTGTATCCTTTCCAGGATTCAGATGATGTGATCCCGACGGAGTACTTAAATTCCGACGACTTCGGAAACCCGCGCGTCACCACTCATGCCAATCACCACAATGACAGCTGGGCTTTAGCCTTATACACGCTTACATACATCAGGCAGAACCCAAAAAAAAAAAAGCACGAGCAACGGTCGTCGAGCGCGAATCCAGATTGTGTCCGAACGCATGTATACAGCCTTGACGGCATCCACACGTTCCACACCACATTCGAATTTTCTGTACTAACTTTTGTAAGTACTGCAAATGTTGATTGACGTCACGGCGCTGCGGTCAACAAGTAAGCACTCTGGAGTGACATGAAGTGGAATATTACGCGAAAGTACCCTTAGAGGAACATCATGATGGATTGAAGACAATCACAACCATCAGGTGAGAACTAGGCAATTTCGCAGGATGATCGCGACGCTCACGGTAGTCAGTAGCCACCCAGCTTTCAATCATTAGGAGCTCCATGCCGACACCATCGCTAATGGACGCGCATCAGACTGCTTGCGAACCCTTGATCTCATAATAAATATAATGACATTCGCACCACTCCATATCGAAACCATATCAGCGTAATCGAAGCGCGAGGGTCTATTAGGCGGATAGAATAGCGGGAATGTAGCCTGACGGTCATCATGTGAGTACCCGAGGAATGACGGAAGCGCATAGTATGCGAGGAACGTCAGTATCAAGATGGCGCTTCATCGCGGGGAAGACGGAGACCAGAACGAGTGACTATATATTTTATTCGAAAGGGGGGTATGCGGTATAAATGTCGTGTTCTCATTGGGACTAGGCCTTGCAGGGCTGAGATATCGGGATCAAGCGGTATTCCATAAGCGAACTCTGATCAGTCAATTTCCGCCTTATGAAGCGAGACGGACAGACATTTGAGTAGGGGTCTTGTGTGGCCCATCGTCACCAACAATTGATTTTTCCTGTTCCGGCATACGATACGAGCAACTGTCACTGGCTTGGCAAGCAGTACTCACGAAGAATTAACAAGAATTCCCTCCAAGTATAGGTAAGATGACAGTTTTGCATCATATTTGGCAAGCTGTTCCGTTGCTTGATTACTACCCATTGCATGAAATGAGTAAAGGCTTTGTAAGAGGAGTGAATAATCACTTGCCTTGTGTCATTAGTCCCATAATTCAGGCAAATTAATAGCGTCATATCATCTTGAGAAGTCTCAGCACCAAGACAACTTGAAAGTCAGATGAAAGTCACGCAGTTGGGCCAATGGGATCGATTCACCCCGGTACCGGTGCATTTCGTCTATGCCAAAAGCATGTTCATCCACGTAGATCTTTCTACACCGTGATAGAAAAGTTCATATATGAATGCACAGGATGCCATGAGGCAAGGGTGTGTCTGATATGGCGAAATGGTTTGGCTCTATAAAATGCAGAGGACACCATATTTAACAAGTTTTACACACGAAGGGAATACAAGGACGACTTACAAATGCTCAGTACTCAGTGCTCAGCACTGGTGAAAGTCTAGGATAGTCAATAAATTGCAGCCTCATAGTATACAGAAAAAATCACATCGGGTCAACTGCTGGTCCGGGTATCGTCAGGTTCGCATTCTATGGATTGCCAATGACAGCTTGTAGTATCCCGCAGGGCAGATGTAATAGCACCAAGATAATTGTTGTTAGTACTTCGAGTTGTAGTACAAGTCGCCCGGCGGTCGAGCTTGTTTGGTGGGCCGGCCCTAAAGAGGCATGTCGAAAACAACTTTAAATTTTAAACTTATCATTCTACTCAACCATCGCTGCAGTCTTGACGATAAAGATGTCTTTGAACTTCGACGCCCTTGAGCAACACCTAAGTACCAGGTCCTACATCGAAGGGTGAGTTTTTGTCCATCCTTCAACATTTTTTCGTGATGATCACTATGCTATGGTCCGTGTTTCCAAGAAGCGACTAGACACCGCTGCTCAGATATGCCGATAACTCTTCACCTAGCCTTCTGATTCTCCTTTGGCCTTTAATGTTTGTTATATTTAGCTAAATCTCTTGTTTCCAGCTACACGCCCTCTCAGGCAGACGTTCACGTTTACAACTTGCTTACGGCACCAGAGCCATCCAAGTACCCGCATTCTGCCAGATGGTATTCTCACATCAAGTCTTACGCCGCGGAGCATGCGACTTTACCTGGCACAAGCACAGCTGGGCAGGCTTTCCTTCAATCGGCATCGACTCCGGCTCCGGCCGCTGCTGCTGCTGCTGATGAAGACGAAGTTGACCTTTTCGCTGATGACGATGAAGAAGACGCAGAGGCAGAGAGGCTCAAAGCAGAACGTGTTGCCGCTTACAATGCAAAGAAAGCCAATAAACCCAAAGCAGCTGCGAAGGTTGGTCTTTTCGTTTGCTTTATATCGCGGCGCTTATGACAGCTGCCTCCAAATAGTCTGTCGTAACCTTGGAGGTTAAGCCTTGGGACGATGAAACCGACATGCAAGCACTCGAGGACGCGGTACGTTCCATTGAACAGGAAGGTCTTGTTTGGGGTGCCAGCAAACTAGTCGCTGTCGGCTATGGCATCAAAAAGCTTCAAATCACTGTAGTTGTTGGCGAGTTATCATTCCCCATCGTATCAATGAAGGGGTTATTCATGACTGTTTTGAACAGAGGACGAACTCGTTTCCTTGGACGATCTACAGGAGAAGGTTGCTGAATTTGATGACTACGTCCAGAGTTCCGATATCGCTGCCATGCAGAGTAAGCATCCTCCTGTATCTTGCATAACGATTTACACCTAACTTCTTCCTAAAGAACTGTAATTAAACTGGGTGTGGATGAGCGAGATTTTGTAAGCTGTGACAAGACAAGTTAAGAAGAAGAAGCATCATTCTAGGAAATGTGAAGGTTTTGTGCGATACGATCATTGTTAATGTGCGTGATGAATGTACTAGTGCCAATTAAATGGACCCACACATCAGACGCTTCCTGCAAGGCAAAGTCCCAACCGTATGATGAGTTGGCTTGTTCATAACGCTGACACTGCATAGTATCGGCCAACCGCATGCACAAAACACGCATCAATATCGATTGTAAATTTTAGGGCATTTACATACAGAGAAGAAATAGCTGCTGCGCACAGTGCATAGGCAACGCGCGGGTTCACATTTCGCTTCACTCACGCACAACTTTGTGAGTGGTTGTCACGCTAGATCAGTCAGTGGACAAGGTTAACTTCAAACAGATGGGGGAATGCACAAAGCAGTGCAAACCTATGTTGCCTTTCTTAGCGTATCTTAGGAAATGCGTTTTGCCACCGCCATTTGACCGTTATCATAATGCCAATGCACCATCGGAGTAGTTCGATGCTCGGAACGCTTGTTGCCATCTAACAACGAGTCTGGATTATTCATCTCCGTGCTAGAGCAAGTTGCTTTGGCAGCGACGGCTCTCGATGAGGCTCTCTTACCCTCGTCAGATGCTGGAAGCTCAAAGGATGTTTCACAAGATATGGTGGATCCATTGAGTGCTCAGCAGTCATTTACTGCGCAATGGTGTCGCAGCAAGCTATCCGCCTTCTTGCTTTGCACTCAAATTTGGAGTGATGTACACGTTCAACTTTAGCGGTCGGCCCTGATTCAGCAGTACTAGTCTGGGAGACGACTACTAGGACAGCAGTTGCGCAATCAACGCCACATATATTGCCCCGTGCTAGAAGTGGAAACTATTTGGCCAGGAATTACGGTGCGCTTCCGATAGCACTTGCTGTGAAGACGGATATATGAATTCAACCAGGCACACGGGTATGTAGCCACGATTACAATCAAGATCTGATCTGGAGAACGTGTGTTTACCTCTCTTTCAGACGTTTCGATTTTCTCAATGAGAAAAGTGAACCTCCGCTTAGTTCGCGCGGTGATCTCATTGCTCGAACGGCACTCCGCCACTCACCTGTTTTCTAGTTTAAAAGGGGCTTGCAGTCATGATTCTACACAGCATATGATGCTTCCTCACCTCGAATCAATCCCTGTCGATGTTCTGTCGCAGATAGCTTTCTTCACTGTTGCTTCCGCGCCGCTCACTGGTCTTGGTGCTGTTCTCCAGCTACTTTTGTGTAGCCGCAACCTACATGACGCCCTCTCCCTGAAATCTTGCCCCCAGCTTTATGCGCGGGTGTTTCGCAGTAGATTCGACCTAGCTGCTCATCTCCGTCGCAGCAAGCTACCATCTCCAACAACTACGAACCTGGCATTGGAGTTACAGCGCCGATGTGCGGTGCTTCGACGTATCCGGCATCGCCATGTTGCCGATCACAGTATCCTTCCCGACCTCTGGACAATCTACCTAATGCTGTTGGAGAGCGATGGGATGAACGAATTTCAGCTTCACTCTGCCGGCATTGCGCAATATATACGTATGCTCTTGAAACGTTGCCTTGGCCAACAAGGGGCCTTCCGTGACGACACGGCTCGCGCATTAGCTATATCTGTGGCATGTTTGGTTTGGTCTCACAGTGAGGCTATTGCACACCTTTCTAGTATATAGGCGTTCCTGATTTAATGCATCGTCCAGAATTTATTACCGATATGCCGCCGGAGGAACGCAGTCAGACGCTTTCGGAACTAAGACCTTTTGTCACAGGGTCGTCAAATGTGATGAAGTGACCGCGCCCACATATTAAACCATCACTGACATCATTTAATTAGGTTCCTTCGCTTCATGTGAACAGCGGGACAAGACGATGCCCTTTATCATTGGACGGCTCGTACAGCCGAGGACCAGAAATAATGCCCGGCGCCTGTGTCGGAAATAATTACCGGGCGCTCGTATCCTCGATCTACACTAAGGAATACACGCTAACCACTCCCAGCCTTCTTTCCGCGTCAATCTTTCTCACTTTTGCACTGAAGGAGGCGATCGCTCTGCAAGTGCCCAAACACTTGCCACAAACTCAGGTGGTTGCACGCCCCACGGAACATGATGGTCCCACTATAGAAGACTTCTTTGCCATCACAAGGAGAAGGACACCTCTTGTCGCTGATTCGGGTCATCAAAGCTCCTCCCGTGAGCCCTTTGCGGATCGTGCGGGAAGGAAGATGCGGGCATCAAGAAGTCTCGCTCACGATGAAGAGTTCTATCGTATTGCCCATCGCCTGGGCTTGCCGGATGACACTTGGGAACTTCGGTCGTGCATTGGGTTGCTAAGTGGAACTTGGGAAGGTACATATATGTGAGTGCCTGATATCATTTACTAGTCCTAATCGATGATGAATTTCACAGGGTAGGCGATGGTCAATGTGGCTTCGAGAACTCGACTAAAACCTCCTTAGACATCACCAACATCGTTTTGTCGATGCCCTTCCCAGAAATCGGATCCCACGGTTTTGCCTGATTTCGTGTCCAGACATCCTATCCAATGCCGACTTGAGGAACACCTCTGCTTCACACCATGCATTCCATTGCCCAGCGTTCCGCAAAATGGTGATTTTGGGGAGTCAGCGTTCAAGCATCTATCCATGAATGATTGTGAAGGAGTCACTGTGCGTATGATTCTCACTGCGTTCATAGTTGTTGACACGATTGTCATGCCTTCCCACCTCAAAGACAGCAAATGAATTTTCGGACGCCACAGGATCATCATCAAAACATCGATATGAACTTTTTCGCCCAACTGATTCTTCGGAAAACTACAGGGACCCACGGCATGCCCTGGATGTCGTGATTACTGGTGAAGTGAGTATTTCGTTATAAAAAGGGTTTTTTGGATTGCTCACGCATTCATCTAGACTCCACGCAGGCTGGAAGCCACCTGGGGTGCATTTATCTTCTTTGGAAGAATCCGCTTATCTGATGGACTTGTCACTCTGACGAGAAAACCAGTTAGCCTTGCTTCGCTCGACGTATTTTTCACGTTCTTATGACGTATTTTTTGCGCAGAAATACTCGGGTGACGAGGGACGTGGGACATGGATCTTTGAAGGTTACATCCACAATAGACGTTCCTTTGTCGGACGCTGGAGGTCTTTTAGTGTGTCTGAACGTGAGAGCTTACGGGGCATTTTTAGCCTGACCAAGGTGGATGATCCGCCTTCCCATTACTGTAGACTGTAGACGAAACTTTTTGTAAAATACATTGTAATTCTTATTTTGGAAGATAACACGGAAGTCCGCGCCAATTGTGGGAAGGGGGAAGGTAGCGTGGACAGAACTTCCTGCTGTAAGAGCTCTTGGAGTTCCCGGGCTGACCTAGAATCTACTGATGAACCAGCAAAGCCGAAAACGCTTTGACGCGTCGTTTTCGTGCTAGCTCCGGAAATAATATTGCTGCTTTTTAGTCATAGCTGAGTCCTTTCCACCAATGAGAGATCCTGACTTCCGTGCTGTGCCAAAGTTCTTGCTTGATATACTTGAGTGATAAGATAACATATCCAGCTGGCGTGTTCTTGCTTCCTGGTTGTGTCCGGCTTTACATCTAAACTGATAAACTATTTTCATTGGTTGGCTATGACGTAAGCATCGCCGCCCCATTGATCAATCGAAGATCATCGTGAGGTGTCCGACACCAGCCGACACCTCTATTTTCACGACAAGGTTCATGTTGGTTGCGAGGCTTTGCGGGAATTGATGTTGCGCATCAATCCGACAGATCGTCTTCTATTCCTCGAGTTTATGGTGCCGAACATAGATGCATAAAACACGACTCTACAAATCTCCGACTTCCGCAGACTAGACCTTTGTGGCACCCCATGATTTGAATGATATACAGTTACGATTTGCGCTAATCTCCTCAGCTGGACAGACTATATTTCCAATTTATTGCCAATACCTCAGTTCTGCATTATGTATTTCACCCACCCGGGAGCTCATCCGTTCACTCATTTCATTCAAATACAAAAAGGTGTGGTCTGCTGAGCGGTTACGTGTTATTAAAATGCGCTCCCGATATTATAGACTGGTAGCGACATCGATGACGATATGCCACACAAGGAACGATCATGAGCGCATGGTTCATGCAGCACCTCGACGGAAATGAGTGATTATGTTCGAAATGGACCCAAATGCGGATTATTTTCACTGATCTATTTGACCAACTCGAAATGGTTGTGGACAACCAGCACGCTGGCGCTGCTGACTCTTGAACGTTCATGCATATCCTCCATGCAAAGATGGCTTTGAGCATCGAAAGCGATTGTTGGCGAAATGGGTATCATACCGTTTTATATGTCATGTGCAGACAGGCCAGTACTCTATCCGGCGGGGCAAACCCGCCTACGACTAGGGTAATCGAAGCCAAGGTAGTTCGATGGATACTAGATGGAATAAGGCGGCAAAAAAGTGGTCGCCACGATAAGCAATTATGGGAGACACTCGGTGCTTACCGCGTTGTGGAGATGAACTCTTGCCGGTAGAATATCAGCTGGCCTTGCCGCATGTACAACCTAGCGCAGATAAGAGGATTCGCAACCTGAACTGAGCGGAGTTCCAGGACTCTGGTCAAGCAACTTGCTGTAACAAGTACGATCCAATCCGAGCGTCCTGGTACTCTCAAAGTGCTTTCCTTGTATGTACATGTCATGTATTTGTCTGCAGAAGTAACCTAACTGAACAAGAATCCAGATAGGTTGGGGGTATGTGAACAGAAGCGGTGTCAGCACGACAGTGCGGATCCTGAACATGACGCACATGAGCCAGGCGAGATTAAGCGGCGATAGACTTACTGGAGTAGAACGTAGACTCTTTCATGTCCGTACTAGTAGGTTTTTCCTGGAATCCGGGTGAGAGTAGGAGAGGGCAATCTTCTGTACTGGGAATTCTGATCACTAGCCTAGTGTCTGAGAAGGAATCAAAGGTGCATACTTCAGGTAGGACATTTGTGATGCAGCCGTATGGGCCACTTGGCAGGTGTCTGCAAGATCCGTGCTTGATCGGATATGGGTAAGCTCAGTCACGACTCGCAATAAATTATTGCATGCTCCTTGTAGTGTGAGATACCGAACTGCGGCCCGATCAACCAACTGATCTGTGGAGTGAGACTCGCGTGGAACAGATTAATGTTGGATTTAGCCAGGTACCGAGGTAAATGGTACACTCACACTGGTAGAGACCAACCGATAAGGTGAAAGAGCAACCAGAGCAGTGCCTCGATAGGCCTCGATTCGTCCCTGTATCCCCCGCATCCTTACTGAAGACTAAAGGTACATTAAAAAGGTGCGGGCCGTATATACAGGGATGAATCGATGATAGTCCGCTCGGGACGAGCGGCGGCGGCATGCCGTATTTAGAGTGAAGAGTGCTGAGGGTGATATAACTTCCTGAAGCCTCGTATTCCCCATCTTAGGATATCTGTCACAATGGGCGCATGTTTTGATCAAACCCCGTTGCTAGTGCAGACTAGCTACAAATATTGGAGCAAAACGCTAGTTGACTGGTCACCACGTGTGTTATGTATTTGGCTTTGTTTATAAATGATAGATGATATTTTTCCATGATTGTTTTCTTTCACAACAGAAACTTCGTCGCCATCGCCGCCATTGACTGCAAAGAACCCGTCCACTCGTTGATATCTATCATACCCACCTTGCAATGAAGTCATTTGCTATTCTCTCCTTATTTATTACTGCTTCTTTGGCACAGTCTGTAAGTATTAAATTTGGTGAAATCATTGGTTGCTAGACTGACGACACTGTTTCGAAACCAGTCCTCCAGTTCCAATCCTTACATTCCTTCAGGAATCAGTCAAAGTTGTTCAGACTATTTGACTAGTCTGAACAGCAACAGCAGCTTCTCCTCCTGTACAACGCCGATTACATCTGCGACATCTGCCTTTGCACCCGGGGTCAACTCGAGCAACATCACCACGAGCCTTATCAACACTGTATTGAGCAACCTCTGCTCGACATCTGCATTCGCTGCATGTCCTGACAGCACTGTTCGTTCTCAGTTGTTGTCCTACTACTCGGCATGCTCAGCAGAACTCACGACGAATGTCAATACCGATGTCCTCAGGACTTATGATGTTCTCTATGTCCTGACGCCACTCAGAGAAGCCGTATGCTCAAAGTCTGACAACGGGCAATACTGTGTCACACAGCTAAACACCACGTCCAGCAGTTCTACTGCTGGAAATGTGGCTTTGGTGACCCCCAATAAACAACAGGCGTTGCAGCAATACCTGTATACAACGCCTGATAGCGGGGCTTCCGCACGTCGGGATGTCAGCAACTCCACCACTGCACTTATTCCCAACACCACGACATTCCAGGATACCAATCTCGTGTTCCTCTTCCTTGATCCCAAAATGAATTCGACTCAACTCTGCACCACTTGCACACGCAACATTCTCACGTCATACATCACGTTCGAGTCCAGTCTCCCTTACGCCCCAGGCCTGAACAACAGCTTACTGCTCGGTGGTCAGTCTACTCTTTACAATGCCGTCACGACAACTTGCTCGAGTGGCTTCTTGAGTGGCGCTGTGCAGGCCGCCGGCGGTCTGTCCAGTGGCCTTATCAGTGGCAGTCCCCGGTCAATAAATGCAGATGTATCGTTGCTCGTCAGTGCTATCTTGGGTGCTGCAGGTCTCGCGGTCACAGCTTTCTGAGGCCTACACTATACAAGTCTGGAAGACTCGTAGCTGATAGTTGTGGAATTTTGATGGTTTGTTTATGGTGACTGGAACGGACTTGTCTATTATTATACCTGTTGCAATTCCTCTTTAGACAAATACTCTCCCGGCATCATCTTTGAAGTTATTTGTCTTCTTCCCTTTCACTTTTCGATCCTTGTGGACATGGTGTGCTTGGAATCATTTCAGTCGTTTGCCCGGTACCAAGTCGGCTCAATATACCAACGTACTCATCTCATTAATGATACAATAAGCTTGTCGGCTGTGCCGCGAGACCTTAGAATTGTTCTATACTTACAGTATCCAAATAAACAAGTACAGTTTGCTAACGTATCAGCGGTTGATGGATGATCGAATCCTTGGAAATGCATCTGAGTTTCATACAATGGTTACACTACATCGACACTAAGTAGCGTATCAAGTGCTCCACATTCCTCAGCTGACAACGACTCAGGATAGGAAGTGCGGGTATGAATAGATAGCTATATACAAATGAGTTTAGATGGAGCTCCGAGCTAGCAAGGTAAATCATCGCACCATACCCAACATGAAGTTGTTGCAGCACAGAAAAGAATCACATTTGAAGTATAAACGCAAGCAACAGGATTTCCACTATCATCACGAGTGCACCAACAGCAATAACATCACGTCCAGCCGTTATGAATGGACGACCATACTCTCGTTTGTCTTCCTGCCCGACAGTAGGGAGCGCCTGTTCATAAAGAGCGCTAGTTTTTGATCCGTCGGAAAAGTCATGCTGTGAGTGTCGAGCACGAATATACCCGAGAGCGAAAAGGAGAATGGAGAGAACTAGATAGACAATACCAACTGTTCGATGTTGTGGTTGGCGGAGGGAGAACCAGGTGACGGTCATCATGGAGGAATTCAAAGACGATAAGATAGCAGACTTACTTCGAAGAAAACGCGAATCAAACAGTCGGAGGGCCGTTAGTGCATACCCAAGGGCAGCAATGGCGGTACGGCGGTAAGCACCGTTGAATGTGCGATTGCGTGCCCGAAGTTCATTGAGCTCAAGGACATCAATTGGCTTGTACGAGTCTGCTCTATGACCTCTATAATAATAATTCAACCATATTAATGATCGCAAGTTATTTTCGTAGAGCTCACCGGTATGTGTGCATGATGAAGGTGAAGCATCAATATCATATCATGGGTCCAAAATTATCGACATCGATCGATAGTACTGTGAGAAATTGGCTCGGCTCGGTTCGGCACATTAAATTATTTCTCTAGCCTTTACTTACAGTTCGAGTTGCGAAGGTGGTGGTCAGCTTGAGCAGAGTGTAGGCTTGACATTAAAAATTGATGCTTCTGCCTTCAACGGTACGCGTAGGCATTCGCCTGGGTCCAAGGGTTTCTGGTGCAAGGTACGTTTCTGATGAATGAGTCTACCGACATAGCACTGCTAATGACACCACAGAATATGGCCGCAAGTGTCTCAAAACCAAACGCGGTTTTTAACCTTGCCGGTGCGTGTTAAAGGGTATCGCATACGCTCGTTTACTCAGTTTTCCTGTAGCATTCAAAAATTACGCCGAGGGTGATCTCTTCCCGGCACATACCGCATACTCGTAACTTCTGGTGGTCAAAATCAAAATCGGCGATACCTGAGCAGCAGGCGGCGTCGGTAGTGGAGTCAGCACCAGCTTCCAGTAGCAACATCGGTACCACTGTTGTGGACTTGGAATCAGCAACAACAACCAGTGCAGCGACACTGGAGCTAGACTCTGCTCCGATACCAGTGACTACCACGCAGGATAGTTTAACAGCCGTTGTTGATAGCGGTGCGGGTATCGATATTCCTGCGCTTGACACCGTCATTCGACCACTTCAATATGGAGATTTAGCAGAACTAGGCCTCGCTGGCTGGTCACCGGCTGGTATCATAAGGTGGTCATTCGAACTTCTACAGGTCAGCACTGGAATGCCGTGGTTTTACACGATCATTGCTGGCACACTTCTGTGGCGTGTGCTCATTTTACCTGCCAATATCATGAGCCTTCGCAACTCGTCGCGTTTACTTCCCTATACCGATAAACTGCAGGCCGTGACGGCGGAATGGAAATCAATCGACACCAGCGACCGCATTGCGTTGCAGCGTATATCCCTGAAGAGACAGAAAATTTACGAAAAAGCGGGAGCCCGGGTGCTTCCTTCGATTATCATGCCCTTTGTTCAAATCCCAGTCACACTGGGTTTGTTCTTTGCTGTCAGGAAGATGACCATGCTTCCTGTAGAACAGCTCAAGCAGAGCGGCGTCTTTTTTCTGCCTGACTTGACTATGTCAGACCCGTACTATATCCTACCCATCTTGTCCACTGTTGCCATCAACATCCAAATGTCGGTGCGTGTGTTTAGAAGTCATGCACTGGGAAATTGACACTAAATGGTGGTCGCAGGTGATGAAAAATGACGTTAATTTTGCTGAGCGTCCCGACATGGCCCATCTCATGAATTTCATGCGCATCTTTTCGTTCATGAGTGTCCCTCTCATGGGCTCACTGCCTAGCGTAGGGATTCCCTGTTAATTTCTGCACATTCAATTCTAACAATTATGTATTCAGGGTTTGTGGTTGTCCATTCTGACTGGTGTAGCAGTGTCATGCCTGCAGTCCTTCATCCTGCAACGTACAACAGTGCGCAGGTGGCTCAAGATAACTCCCCGTGTAGAACCAAAGGTCAAACCACCCACCATGATGGAATCTATGCAGTATGCAAAATCGTGGTACATGAGCAAGAGGAGTGAGATTATCGCTGCTCGAACTCAGGGAGAAAAGACCCGGAGGAGATGAAATAAGCAGCCAACATGCATAGAGTGTCCTATTGTATATCTCATCCATTAATACACCCAGGTTTCTGCTCGTTCCCCAACTCCCACGAAGTGGGAGAAGGGTTTTGTCAGACGCAAACATGCTCATTTTTCTGTCAATGGACGTGTCGTGGGAATTGATTACGTACATAACTGAGACATTACGATTCACTGTCTTTATTCATTTATTTTCACCGCCTTCAGCCTTCTCAAGAGACTCCGTACTCTCGACCCAATATTGCCTATTGTCTTTTTTTACCTCCGGTGCCCTGTGGTGGGACTCGTACATTGTGATGTTAGCTTAGGCCTGACTGACTGTTATATCCATGAATGGGAGGACTTAGACGAGCCCATGAGAATTCGCATGGAAATTGTGAGAGTACAAAAAACGATCAAGGTATTATCGGAGTATCGGAGTCGGGGACTGGCGCTCGCCGCCGCTACGATCTAATAGTAAAAGGAAGATACCGCATTTATTACGTAATGCTACGGTTGTAATGCGTGGGAGTACCCATAATCCCGACTTGGCTACAGCCGCACGGTGGTACTTTCGGCTGCGTACACTTCATGGCCTTCAAGTTGAGCTCAATAACAGTACAGGCGCCATCCGCAGCATCCCCTGAAGCCCCCATTCCAGCAGACGAAGAGTACTATTCGTCATGGTCTCTGTTTCTTGTTTGCTTGCTACTCATCGTCTCGTTATGGACATCTTATTACCTGCAAATCAGGAAAATCCGGGCCATTCATGAGACCACCGTCTCTATCTTTGCAGGGATGTTTGTAGGGTTGGTGGTTAGACTTGCACCAGGAACGATGATTCGAGAAATGCTGGTGAGTATCCACTCGTCGTCACGTCTCTGCATTGCTTTTGCTGGCAGATGCCAGACTGGTGTCTTGCATGTCTCTGATACTTGAAAACTGCGAGTGCCGTGGCTGAAGTTTGATTCATAGACTTTCAAACATACTCTGTTCTTCAACTTGCTACTTCCTCCCATCATTCTAATTCCGGATACGAGCTCAAGCAAGTGAGTAATGCGCAGATATCCAAATAGATTCAGACATATACAACCTTGCTGCAGGAGAATTTTTTCCGAAATTTCGCCTCCATCCTTACTTTTGCATTTTTGGGCACATTAATATCAGCTGTCGGTGTCGGGTGCGTCAAATGCGAAAACGCTACTTGCATTATCGATACTTTGCTTAACTGTTCTAGGACAGTGTGCTGGTGTATCTCTACTCATTCCTGGGACTAGAATCTTTAGATGTTACACTGCTGGAGTGCTTGATCTACGGCTCCACACTATCTGCAACTGATCCAGTGACCGTTCTTGCCATATTCAATCAGTATAAGGTGGACCCAAAGCTCTACACCATCATCTTTGGCGAGAGTCTGCTAAATGATGCGGTCAGTATTGTCATGTATGAGTAAGTTCGAATTGCCCTTCTCCCCTTAGAATTCGTCACTTATCCTGTCATTTTCAGAACTCTCGCGCAATTCCACGGCACAGAGATATACATCTCGTCCATATTCCATGGCATTGGAATTTTCTTGCTTTCATTCAGCGTATCCATGGCCCTTGGCGTTAGTTTCGGCCTGGCAATGTCCCTGACCCTGAAACACTCGTCAATGAGTCTGTATCCTTCCATCGAATCTTGTCTCGTTGCCCTGTGCGCATATACCTGCTATTTCTTGTCTAATGGCCTGTCAATGTCTGGCATCGTATCCCTCCTGTTCTGCGGAATCACCTTGAAACACTATGCATATCATACCATGTCCCGGCGAACGCAAGCGAACAACAAAATACATCTTCTCGACTCTCGCTCAACTCTCCGAGAACTTCATTTTTATCTACCTCGGTCTCTCACTTTTCACAAGTCCTCCATCATCTGAGCGCGTTACCAACTATGTCAAGCCTCTCTTCATTGTGGTCACGACGGTTGCAGTCGTGTTCACCCGATACGCAGCTGTCTTCCCACTATCTGAAGCAATCAACTTCTTCACTCGACATGCTCGGGGACAGCGAACAGAGGAGATTCCACACTCTTACCAGATGATGTTGTTCTGGGCTGGCTTGCGAGGTGCAGTGGGTGTGGCACTCGCGGCTGGGTTCAAGGGCGAGAATGCGCAGACACTGCGGACGACTGTCCTTGTTGTAGTGGTGCTTACTGTTTTCGTTTTCGGGGGTACAACTGCACGCATGCTAGAGATCCTTGGTATTCGCACAGGCGTTGAAGACGAAGCTGCTAGCAGCAGCGACGAAGATGCACCTCCAGGACGCAACGCATGGCAGAATCGCCGCCATAGTGGTTCATGGAACAGGTACACCGATGATTCTGAGCCCTTACCATATTTTTCGCCATCGCAACATGGATATGGGCGGGCTGCAGGCAGAGTAGGGTCACACTATGCATCACGAGCTTATAATCACCACTCGGGAGCACCACCATCACCGATCGGTAATACTATGTTTTCTGCAGCATCATCGGAGTCCTTTGAGTCAGAAGCGGAAGTACTTCCCATGGCCACGACCTCAACGGATGCCGGTCCGTCTGCGGAAAGACATGATGACAGACAGGTCAACGAGGATGGCAAATGGTTCCAGGCGTTAGATGAGAGATATCTTCTTCCTTTGTTCTCGAATGCCACTGCTAGCCGCACGTTCCACGCCAGACGTGCGCGGAGGAATATCTCTATATCCGGTCAACCCGCAGGTGCGAATCTAAGCGCACTGGGTACGCCGCAGGACAGTGAAGACGAGGCTGAGAGCCCAGAAGTGGAGCTTGGAGTAGTGGGTACGATAACGCCTGGCAGGCAGTTTTCACAATCTCCAGATGAGCAAATGCGTTCTGAGAGGGGACTCGCCACGCCCGTCTTGCGGAACGGAAACGGTAGAGATGAAGGACAGAGTCGAGCGGGTTCGTAAAGACATTTGTCTTAGTCGTTTCATGGTATTATGTACCTCGTTAGAGTATTTTTGCTAAGTGATCTACCAAGGATTTACTCAATTGAGAGTCGTTGATTTTCCACTAGACCAAAATTAGCGGTGAACCTTAGTGGTATGTCCGAGAGGCAGTCAGGTACCTAGTGCATTCGTCAGGTCTTTCACCTGCCTGCACATTTTGAATAGCAGTAAGTGTAATGTGCAGTCGACCAGTGACATGAAACTTGAATCACTACACATTTACCAGGCAAGTTCTAGTTAGTGGAATCACAGCAGCATCACACGCGTTTTGAACAACTTCGGATCCGAACGTCTTTTCCTTAAGTTCATGCACCTGGTAAGAGTATACTCAGGGCTCACTCCTGATGTATCTTAATTAGACGTATATATGGCTGTATTTGTGAGCTGCGGAATTCCATGGCCAGAGAGATCCCCCTATGTATTCCCCTCACCACAAATGGATTATAGCAATCTAGGTGCAGTAAAGCGTGTTAATCAGTCTTACTGCCCTATGCATAGTATATATCACCTAAATGTAGGTAGGGTCGTCGCCATTTATAGCATCGATAATGTTAGTGAGTATGGAGAGAAATACATTAGTAAGATGGTGGTACAACGCGTTAGAAAGTAGTGAAGTGGTGGTGGGGTATACTAAGGTCGTGATAAGATAACACAGCAATATTACAGAAGATCCGCATTCCGTAAATGAGTACGAAGGATACTTTCCTCGACTACGAGTACTCATGTGAGAACGAGACATCCTAAGCTGTTGTGGACACTCACCTACGCTTAGCGTAGCTGCGGTCGCCTTGGTGTCCTAAAAATAAAAACCAGTTAGGCATCCCCCGTACCAGCGTGGCCATGGGTACGCAATCCCTCAACGATGGAACGTTCTCATGGAACCCAGGCACGTCAAATAATGGGAGATACTCACGATTACCGATGTGAAATGGATGAAAAACGGCCGTTGCTCCGGGGAATGCTGTTTAAAAATTTCCCTAAAATGTTGTTGGAAGTCTGAAAATAAGAGGACTGTGTGAGCATCGACATATAGCGATGACCTGTTCGCAAACAGTACACAAATTTGGGCTTACATTTCATTACTGTAACAGTATCGTTTTTGCGACTGCCGTAACTCGGGATGTGATCCTTTATGGACAATCCTCGCTTGATCTTATTGTGCAGGAGATCGCACTTGTTAAGAAAGAGAATGATCTCGGTCTTGGCTAGAATACGAGATGAACAGACTGATTTCCACAGGAGATAGCTATCTTCCAGGCGGTTTATGCGACGATCTTCACGGAGCTGCTCGTCGAAACAAGAGATTGGGCAAAGAAAAATGATGGCATCGACATCGTCGAAATACGACGCCCATGCTACACGCTTCATAGGAGGGTTGTTAGTTCCAAAACATGACTAGATCAGTGATCAAGATTACCAAAGACCTCGTTCCGCCAACATCATACAATAGCCATTCTTTCCCGTTGCCTGCGGAATGCTACTTAATGTAAGTGTTCGGAAGAATTGAATAACTTACTGTCGTCCATTACGACTCTGTGTTCTTGAACGCCAACCGTTCGTAGACGCGCACGAACAATGTCGTTGTCGCTAGGTTCATAGTCATATGATACGATGCGGTCAATGTCATCCAAAAAGCTTCGACCCAATAAGTAAGGCTATTGAGATACGGGATAGGGAACGCTCACAAGCCCGGAGAATCTTCTATCTTTGTCTTGCGATGAGACAAAACTTGCTGGACGATGGGATCTTGCCACAACTCTAGCATGGTTTCCTTGCACGCAACAAGCACATCAGTAATCTCGTCGTGATCGCTATCACTCCGTCTTTGAGGTCGGGCACTGGCCATCATCGACGGGCGCAGCTTTTCCAAGGCGGACTTCCATCCATTTGTTGAATTGATACCAAAATCTCGCGAGGGGCGTTTGGGTAATAGTTGAAAGCTCGGAGAATCAAATGGCGTTGCGGATATGGAAGCCGTTGAGCGAACTTCTTGCGATTCAGGACCGAGCTTGTTCTCGAGGTCACCCTGAATGCTGCGTAACGGGCCGAGACGCCGTTGCATGAAACGATGCTTGTCCGAGAAATGATAAACAATTTCATGGTTGGTTGTCTCGTCGTCGGAATCGCTGAGATACTCTATTCCTGTAGACCCTGGGCGCTTTTCGCTTTCGGCTAGTGAAATTTCCCGACTGAGGATATCCAGGACCCTGACAATGTTGCGAACGAGGTTTAAATAAATGACTATCCGCCATGAAGCTCGCTCCTCCGCCCACTCGCGTCGTGCATGTTGTAATTGGAAGTCTGTGAAATGTGATCATCTTAACTCCTTAGTAACCCACGAGTGCCCTCGAAACGTACTTTTGAGTGTAGCAGATTTTCCTGTATAAGAATAAGTTCACTGCCGAAATCATGCTCTGACGAACGTACCGCTCTCGCTCTGTCCAAGGAGAAGTACTTTGACGGGTTTCTTCTTCTTTTTGAGTACGGTCCGTTCTTGACGGATTTGCTCGTCGATATCCTCGCTTATTCGACGAGCTTCGATCTCAGCCTGTTCCCGTGTCTCTTTCTCTTTGGGTGTTTCATCTTTAGGTGGTGCGATTGCAAGTGTAAGAGGGTCTTCCAGAGATATGCGCATTGTCACTGATTAGATGGTATCAGAAACAAAGAGGTTACCAGATGGAGGATGAAGACGAGAGAAAAGACGATGAATTGTTACTCCGCCGAGGGAGACGACCAAATGGATCAATAGACGCCGTACGGCATATGGATAACTAGCCTGGAGAGTTCACAAGCCTTGGCGCATGTCAGAACCTGAAGAAGTAAGTTGGATAAATTGATAAACCATGTTTTGATCATCATAATTGACTGTCTCTGCAAGATACTTGCGGAAGTAGTAAATGTGCTATGTCAGTCCTGCAGGACCGTCACGAAAATTGTCTTGACTATGCCACCGAGTGGGGAGGTTTGCCCGTGTCCCTAGCTTATTAACTAACGTTTTACAATTTGCGTGAGTAATGTGGCGTGATATATTTGTTTATATTTGTGAGAATCAGTTTCGCGATATAAGAGGCGACATGTGACTTTCCCGTGACTTTGACCTCCTTACCCCGTGACCAGCACGACACCTTGCTCCCTCAAAGTCATCCCGTGCCTACATCCCTGTTATAACTGTGAGTCAGAAAACTCTCAAAACAATCCACAAAATAAATAAAATAACATGAGCAGTTGTTTGGCTCGTTGGCGACTCCAGCCCTCGCCATGGCCTCTGCACAGCACTCTTCCATTCCCGCCGGCGCATCCACCACCAGCGTCGGTCAGAGCTCACCAGCACCAGTTGCAGTTTCTGTTCCCAATGGCGACCGCATTCCATTGCAGATAGAGGGTATGGATGCTGCTCAAGTTTCTAATCTCCTCAAGAACCTACCTAGTCTCTTCCACAAGGTTCGTGACCAAGTATCCTTGAATATTATATCGGATTACCCTTTTATGGTTGATGAGTTACGGGTGTCCAAGTTTACTCTGCCTCTGTCGCATTCGTCAATTTTTATTGAATGTGCCGCTGACACTATTTTTTTTGTCACATTAACAGTCTCCTACTCAGGGCGATATGACCGGAGAGGCTGCTCAATCTTTGCAGGCTCTCGCTCAAGCCGGGTTGTTCCCTCTTCAAAATCAACACCAACTTCAGCACCCAATACCATTCCCTGGCGATCCTGGCCCTTCTTCACACCCCCGCGGCCCTCCTAACCTTGGGCATTTGTCTGCAGCCGCAGCTGCTGCAGGTCACACCCCTCCAGCCACCCAACACACGCAGGATGGAGGGGACGCCCTCAGTGACACAGACATTGGAGAACAGCCTCCTTCATCAGCTCCACAACCGCCGTCCGGAACAACGGGAAGATCCCGGGCCGCCAGGAGCGCTGCAATGGGCACCGATGAGTGGACCCGCCAGCGTAAGGACAACCATGTAGGTGTTTTTGATGAGTCCTCGTGTGCTCTTGTCATCGGTACTCATGTAATTCCTTAGAAAGAAGTCGAGCGTCGACGCCGAGGAAATATCAACGAGGGCATCAACGAACTCGGTCGCATAGTACCAAACAGTTCTGGTGAAAAGGCAAAAGGCGCAATTCTTCAGCGTGCTGTGCAGTATATCCATCATCTGAAAGAAAACGAGGCGCGCAACATTGAGAAATGGACACTAGAGAAGTTGCTCATGGATCAAGCAATGGGTGACTTGCAAGCACAGTTGGAGGACATAAGAAGGCTATGGGAGGAGGAACGCATTGCACGACAAAGAGCAGAGAATGAACTCGATGTGCTGAGGGGTGTGTCGGGCCAGGCCCCAACGATTCCATATAAATCTCGTTCACGTTCAGTCGAGCGAGGACAGGATGGGCCGTCTAACAGAGGTCCGTTTGGTGAGAGTGAAGTACGAACAGAGCTTGGAAATCGACCAGAGGAAGGTAGTGGTGATGACTCAGAAGGCAGGCCCGGGAAACGTGCGAGAGTTGATTGAGGTTATGTAGTTCGTATTATCTTTTCAGCTGTATGATAGCATCACATAAATCTTACTTCTAGTGCCTTTTCTAGATATTCCGAGCCCTGTGTTATCAACGGACATTTGATATGCGTGGAACCGTGCGTTCTACCTATTCCGTTGGTTATCCCCGCATCTGGGGAAGTTGCCGCATCTTGGCGCTTTATCTCCTGTTGCATTAACGGCGAACCTCAACAGTTTTTGCGCCTTCGTGCGGAAAAACTTGCGCTTCTTGCCTATTAGCTTGTTCCTCAACTCTGGTGTCAATATTTCTATCATGCTAACCATCTTGGTGCAAAAGTAACTCGGGGATACGAATAGATCCCGATCACCGGATAATCGCGCAGCGCTTGATAGTAATTCGCTTCTTGTTCGTGACATGGTCCACGGAAGAAGGGTCTGGGTGACATCAATGAGATAAATTTTAACGTTCTGGCATACATGACCCTTTGATCTTAACTAAAAGGTATTCACTCAGTATCATGCACTACTATGTCTGGCAGTTGTTGTGCGTCGCAGGGCTAATTCTCTACGCTGTTTGGGGTAGCTACTTTGCGAGAAACCCGCTAGATAACATTCCTGGCCCCCCCTGTCAGCGTTGGTGGACAGGTAAGGGTACCGAGCGCACAATCTTAGGGAGTTAATGCACTGACAAAATCGTTCAGGCAACTTGGAACAGATATTTGCGCGGTATGCATGGGATTTCCACAAGATGCTTGCGGAACGCTATGGTCCAGTATCGAAATTCTATGGGCTTTTTGGGGTACGTCAATCGCACAAACGCATCGCATTTTTTGAGAACGATGTTCACAGACAAGGGAGCTCTATGTATTTGATCCAAAGGCCATGTACCATATCATGGTCAAAGATCAGAACAATTTTGAAGTGACTCATACCTTTTTGGCGTAGGGATTTCCACTGTACTTGATGTTTCACTTCACTGGAAAGCCCTGCAGGACAAGCAAGGTCCTTTTTGGAAATGGCCTGCTGTCGACGTTGGGTGCGGTGGGACTCTTGTCGTGTTGTCCCTATATCTTATTCCAAATGCAGGCGAACACCACCGAAAGCAACGGAAGATGCTCAACCCTGTGTTTTCTATCAGCCACGTGCGAGACATGGTGCCTGCTTTTCTCGAGGTGACGAAATGCGTAAGTGCCTTACCTGTCTGGCGTCAGTGGCGTTCTTGATTGCGCACATATAATAGCTCCGAGACGGCATTGCAGCGCAGGTAGAGCACGGGCCCTGTGAAATCAATATGTTGGAGTGGCTCGATCGCACCGCTCTTGAACTTGTGGGGCAGTGCGGACTGGGGTATTCTTTTGATTGTATGAAGGAAGGCTATGCCAATCCTTACAGTGCTGCCGTCAAGAACCTCCTGTACGCATTCCAATGATTCCTTCTAGCTCTATAGGTGAGGGTTAACGAGAATTTCAGGCCAACATTATTCAAATTGTCTGTTGCGAGGAAATTTCTCCCATTTCTTATCAATGTTGGTTCTCCTAATTTCAGGAGATTCGTCGTGAAGAATTTTCCATGGAAGGCACTGAGGGAGATCTGTAGTATTGTCGACGTTATGGACGAGATAACGACGAAGGTCTTTGAGGAAAAGAAACGTGCGCTTTCTAAGGGAGACGGCGCGGTATTGCACCAGTTCCAAGAAGGAAAAGACATCATGAGCATACTACGTGCGTTCATGAAAGCAATTGCGTCCCTAACCACTGAGCCATCTATTGCAATAGTGCGAGCCAACATGAACGCTTCAGTGGAAGACCGTCTTCCAGATTCAGAGCTTGTGGCTCAAATGAGGTGGGCGTAACTGCATTCATGTATCTGTCTAATATTACTTTAGCACACTTGTTTTTGCCGCAACACATACGACTTCCGGTGCTCTGTGTCGCACTCTCTTGACTCTGGCTCATCACCAAGATGCACAAGACAGACTGGGCGAGGAAATCCGACAAGCAATGACTCAACTTGGCGTGCTTGACTATGATACCCTGGTCAATCTGCCGTACCTCGACGCAGTATACCGAGAGACACTGCGCTTGTAAGGGTTCATTTTCTATTGACTTGTATACTCATAGGGGTGTAGGTATCCTCCAGTCACCACCGTCACACGCACGTATGTCCCACCCAAATTTCGCCGGATATGTTCGAACAAACCTGCTTTTTCTAGTGCAGGTGACAATATAGTCATCCCCTTCTCGCGTCCCATCAAAGGGAATGATGGGACATACATGCGCGAGGTCCTTGTGCCCAAGAACACGAATGTTGTTGTGTCAATCCTGAACTCTAACCGAGATCCTGAAATCTGGGGAGACGACGCGCTCCAGTGGAAACCGGAAAGATGGCTGTCTCCGCTTCCACAAAGTGTTATCGATGCCGAGATTCCAGGGGTTTACTCCCACTTGTGAGTGGTATTTGAGAATATTAATCCCAGAACACTCATACCCAGTGATCCGTTTCTCCTCCAGAATGACATTCATTGGTGGTGGAAGAGCGTGCATGTGAGATTTAAACGTTGTGCCACGATTTTCGGTCTCTGATGAGGACATACATAGCGGATTCAAGTTTTCAGAACTCGAGATGAGTTCGTAGGTTTCGTTCTTAATCAGATTCCGGCTAACAAGTTGGTCAGAAATCGTCCTTTGCATGCTCATTCAGACATTTAAGTTTACTCCGACGAAAGAGATCGATTGGACCTTGCATGTGTCATCTCCGAACGTCAAAGGTTCTGAGGATGCTAAGTGGCAGTTGCCGCTCCGAGTCGAGTCGAGATGATATCACATCGATGCGTGCGGTGCTAGAAACATAATCAGGGGTCCTGCGGCATTTCGAGCTGTAGTTGCTATGTGATATTTGAAGTATACTAGTCGGTCTGAAGTGAACTGGGGACAATTTAGTCCCGTTCCTAGAGTCTACGGACAGTACAGTGGAGTAATTTAGTGTCAGATGAAATGCATTCACGGTGAGTACTATTTTTTGAGATATTATGTGTTACACTCTTTCAGCACGACTCATCTACGTACTCTCCTCTGTTACTTGTCGTTGTCGTCTTGAGCATCGTGATCAGCGTCCCGCGTCCTGGCGTCTTGTTTAACCATGAGATTAGTCCAAGGGGCGGCGACCGGGGATTCAAATTACTTGGCTTTCAATATTTACCTCGTGTTCACCGTGGCTCTCGGTGGGGGGATAGCTCTCAATTGCTACGAAAATTGGCCCCGTTGCAGTAGCTTAGTGGCATGCATTGCACTGTTACTATCCATAGGAGATGTAGTAACAGCCTGAGTACCAAGTTGGTTTCAAAGTTTTACGTACTAGCTAGTCAGACTCGGTCCGGACCAGGTAGAGCTTCGACAAGGAGTTTCTCGTCCGTTCTTGATTACCAAGGGCTCAAAGAACAGATCATGATTTGAAACCGTCTCGTCGAACCCAACGATCATGTCATCCACCAGCAGGAATGTCATCCCCACCGAAGATGAAGTCAGGAAAGCTATTATTGAGCTGAAAAAAGGCAACCCTGCTTCTGGCGTCGCCAAAATCCACAGCCTCTTACTTCACGCAAATTCATCATGGACGGTCAGCGAAAAACGCGTCCGAAAGATCTTGCAGAGTGAAGGGCTCATCAATTCAGACCCTGGGACGCCCAACAGTACAACCAACATCATCCATCCATCTTTTCGGCTCAATAAAGCCTCGATGTCAACAAGTGGACCAATAGGGTAGAAGTCAAGTACTTCGACGCGGTCAAGGGCAAGGGCCTCGTTGCTAAAGAAAATATAGCCAAAGGGGATGTTTTATGGAAAGAGGATCCCTTCATCCTGGCCCCAGAATGGTGAGCACTCCTACACGTTCCGTTTCTCGAATGGAAGAGCTCATGTCTAGAAAGGGAGATCTATGATCTCCAGCACTTGTCTGAGGCGTGCTCCTTCTGCTCGTGCATCATCCGCGATCATTCCCCGTTGCATATATCCTGCGAGGCCTCCACAACCGCAACTCCCTGCACGGCAAGATACTGCAATAGGCTCTGCCGTCTGCAGGCAGAAAAAGTACACCCTCTCCTATGTTCCGCACGCAATCCCGCATCTGTACCACTCCTTGCCTTCGCAAGAGATGCGCAGTGGATGGCCCTGCATGCTCTCGCGCAGTGCACCAGCCGACTTTTACTGGCTTCTCAGCAGGATGCTGCAACGTTCGACTTGGACTGGGAAGTAGTCCAGGGCCTCGCTGAGCTTGGGATGGAAGAACGTGCTCAGTGTCTTCGGTGAGCCGTTGAACTCCAACACTTCGATGGTGGATGGCTACTGACCCTCTAATAGCGAGCAGGGATTAGAGCCCGATCGCGACAATTGGCGGAGAGCCTTTGAATTGTATTTGCAAGCATTCAAAGAACCTCGGACACCTGCAGAACAGAAAAAACTCGCACGCGTCTTGAAAAAGCCAATTTCCGAAGAGCTACAGAAATTTACTTTCGAATATCAGGCCTTCTTACGTGGCTTGGGCCGCATGAGTCTCAGTAAGTTGTTCCATAACCATCGTATTTTTTTTCGCTGTTTTACATCGGTTCGTAGATCTGGAGGCCCATGGCGGACTGTACAGGCTGCACTCTCACCTTAACCACAGTTGCACTCCCAATGTTTCGATAAGACACTTGGACCAGCGCACCGCGCTCTCGCGCATCACAGTGATCGCAAAGGAGGATTTCGAAATAGGCCAGGAGCTCCTCATTACATACACCAACCCCCAGAGCAGTCTCAGGGATCGACGCCGGAGATTATCGGAGTGGGGATTCGGACCTTGCCGTTGTGAGCGCTGTGTTACGGAAGAGAAGGTTTGGAAGGAATCAGATAGCAACACCCAGGAAGCAGACGATCTCGCAGATCAGCTCAAAGCCGGTCTAGGAGTGTTATAGGATGTGTCATTGAATAATCGGTCACTAGGATTAATTTCCGTCAAGCAAGCGTCCGAGATCCCCGTGCTCTTTTGTAGTCGCAACGTTCGGGCCCCATCGTCGCTATTACAGGCATTCACAGATCGGATCACTTTCTTCAAGCTTCAAGATTTGGATCTTCCGTTCCGTCCATCGGAAGACATCCATTCCTATCAGAATCAATGCGGTAAACTCGTGTGGTGCAATATATTTTGTCACCGTTGATAAGCTATATCTCATTCAGATGACTATATCCCCGTATGTGCCCCAGTCTGGGTCGATCTCCTCATTCCGCAAACTACCGGAATGACATACAAGCAACCTGTGTTCTTGACCCATTGGTGACAGTGATCTTAAACCTAAGTTTGATCTTTCGACACGAAGCTCCACTCAATCATCGTAATAACGCACCGCCTAACCGTGTTACCTGTGCATCGGCTGGGTGAAACCTTGCTTGTTATATTCATTGTAGCGTCATGGTGGAGAAAATGACAGGCTGTGACTTAGTCAAGACTGTCGTCCGCTTAACTATTACGCCAAAAGGCAAAGCTTGTGTTTTGATATCGCGGATATTAGTATTTATGTAGATTACGGGAACTCTAGTAATTAATGCGTGCTTACACAGGGTAATGGAACTCGATCAAAGAACGGACGAATACTGGAAGAATATGGTAAAAGAGAGCGAAAAGCGGCTTTGCAAGTCGTCACTGTGTTATGGAAGTTTTTGTCCAATAAAAGTAGTACTCCGTGACGTAGGGTAATACACCATAGCCTTGGGAACCCCTGTCCCTTCCGTACCTTCGGGACCACGAATGCCCTAGTGTGAGGCGTACCATCAGTTCGCCGTTCCTGCCGGCAGTGTCAGACGTGCGTTCCATCGAAGATGAAATGACTAGATAATACAGCGTGGCGATGTGGAGGTCACTATCATAAGACTAGACTGAACGCGTTCTCACCAGGAGCTATGGAAGTTGCCGGTAAGTCGACGTTGCTTAGATTCGTGTAAAAATGGACGATCCTTTGGGTGAGGCTTACAGTCCGGTGGTGAAAAAAATGTATTCATCAAAGTATCTACTATAGGATGAAGTGTCTGCTCTAGTCGGAATGAGCAGGAGAAAGCAATGTCGTTACTGACCCGTTGAGAATTATAACTTGACCTGTTCGTAACCAGTTAAGTTAGTTAAATGGATCTGCTAGCAGGCCATGGCACACGAAATACTGCAGGTCGACGAGACCCGAGAGTAACAACCCTCTTCGGTTAGAAGAGGGTATTTTGCATCCACGGCATGCTCAATCGTCTGTTGAGATTGAAAGAATTCCAAGGCGTGAAAAACATGGCGAGTGAGGCTTTACTCTATAAGCTAATGTCGTCACATCTACCCCAAGAGGAAGAGAGTACTAGCGGAAATGTCTGGGCGGTGTCATCAGGCATGAGAAATGGTCATCGAGCTCGATCGTTATTGACGACTCGGACTAGCTAGCAATTTGAGTAATTAATTGTTGTTCCACCTGTCATTTTGCGATTAATTCAAAGCAGGACACACCAGTTATAACATATTCAGCCACAACCCGGGTTGGTAACAACACCAGTGGGAGGAAGTACCAGACTAAACACAATAAGCGGCGGCGAGGCGAGCACGTTGCTAGGACGGTTACAATGAAGTTGTAGCTGCCGACACTAGAACTGCAAAGCGGAGTGGAGCTTGGACAATCAATTTCCAAGCGCGAAGTTGAGAGTTAGTGACTGGCTACGAAGCGAAGCCGAAGCCAGAGCATCCAGTTGAGTGTCGCGAAGTAGACCACATTCTTGGCACCTGCCGCAGGCACCGATCTCCCAAGGTAAGAGTCTGTTAACTAGAGCTAGAGGGACGCTAGACGGGCAGGAGGCAGCAGTTTTGAACCTGCGAAGGTTCTTGTCAGGGGGCTACCCCTACACCTACCGCACAGTTTTTAGGAGGATACCACTAAGCCTTTATACCACCTAGGGAGTAGATGGTTTGTTCACTACTGCAACCAAGTGCATACCTGATACTCATGACCCACCGGCAGGTTGGTTTACAGGTTAATTGGGGTACTAACTTCTAAGTGGAAGAATAGAAAGCTTCGTCTCCCAGATTCGATCAGACTTTAGCATGAAGCCGAAGCCGAAGCCACTTCGTCCAAAAATTGACAGTTCTTTGAGTGAGGTTTGCAGTCTGAGATTTGCAGTCCAAAGAGCTGGCGATAAAATGTGTTCGTTGAGTATCACCTCCAGGAAGATGTGTACGGCACGATAAGCAGCAGTAATGCGAGCACGTTGCCAGAGCGTTTGCCGTGTAGGACTACAAAGCCGAGCGAAGTTGAGACCGTTTTGCCTGAAGGTTTGATGCGACCCAACGGAAATTGCGAAATCTGCTTATCAAAGAGTATGCCTTCTTCACGATTTTATGCTCACTGGTTTCGAATATTCTCAGCTCCAACATTCCTCGATCAACCTTCCCTCCCTCTCCATCGAAGCAACATACTCCACAGCCTCGGCATTCGGCATTCGGCCTTCCTCCGAACCTCTCCACTGCACGTCGCACAGCGTCACGGACAGCAGTAGGCATTTTGTTCGAAGAACTATCATAAAAGTTTAGGGTTCATCATACGTCACATATAATCTTGACCCACCCTGAGATGATAAGGATGCCTCGTTGTTGCCCCAGCATTGTCCAGATATACTGTGCATCCTCTTTCATCAGATCTTGCACATACGTCCGTTTGACACCCTCTGGTCCATCACGAGAACACGCAACGCGGTAGCGGAGTTTTCGTTCTTTCGCATGAGATTCCCATTCCGTGTGATAATGTTGATCCTTGTGTGCAGAACGGCAACCGAAGTATAAGGTAGTATCTGGGGTCATCAAGGATCAGCTGATATACAAAGACAGCCAAACATACTATTGTGTCCCTCGTGTATGCGTTGTTTAATGACGGCACGCATAGGTGCGATGCCTGTCCCTGGACCTACACACACCACTGGTGTGTTTGGATCCGTAGGAAGTGAGATGAAGCCTTTTCTGAAACCGATACGAAGGGTATCTCCTGGAGATGATATGAGTTCAGGAACTACGCTAGGACGCCGTGCGGACCTAATTTAAGCCCTGATAGATAACTAGTACAGACGCCTTTCCGATGAATTTTTAATTTCGTGCGATAGCGCACTATAGCAACACAAAGATGTATTTCACGGGGATGGAGCTGACGAAACAGAGGTGAATTGAACTGCAGTGAACACATTTTGACTCGAGCTCACCTTGATGGAACTAGCAATTGAGAACTCTCTTGGTCTCAGCGGAGGGAACAAGTCAAAGACATACTCTCTCGGTATCCTTGTGGACCGGAACTCAGACAATACCTCCCAGGTTGTGCGTTTCACGCGTGACAATAATCATGCATTTCGTCCTGCACGTCCTCAATAAAAGAAAGAAAAATGACGAAACCCGACGTACCGCTCCTTCTATCGATACAAATTCATGAAGTTTTTCGCTTTCAAGCTCATCGGTAACAAAATATCGCAGCAATTGGAAAGAAGAGCGGCGGGGAACAGCATTGAAATCGAGATAGCGCGTGAATAGAATCCGACGGGAAACGATTTTCGGTAGATGGTCGGGCAACGTTTGATCTGTAAGATATTAGATGGGGTTTACTGGGTCCTGTTTTGTCGTACCTAACATTGTGTGTTCTACTGTGAAGAAATCGTCGGCAACATTCGCCCAGCCCATGGTGACAAGGAAAGAGTCGACTTCTGATGCAGCTGCAGACGGATGGATCACAGCAACATCTCCAGGACTATATCTGAATTTTCCAATCAGTAGCCGCGAATCCAAAAGACAAAGACTCGTACTTTATATCGTCTTCGAAGGAAAACCCAAAATGGCGTACGTCCTGAAACCAATCTTCCGCAGTGATCCGTCTGTTACATTTCACCGAAGCTGTGTGAAGCTTCGTGTCCTCATCTAGAGGATCTGGATTCAACGACGTATCAGATGCCACATTGCTCAAGGATACGCGAGGTGGTGGTCGACCAGCAGGAATATTATCTTGCTCGTGCGGCAGTGGGTAGAGCTGTATGAGAACTTCTAGGAGACATTCGATCCATGGGTCCAATGCACCATCCACCCTGCACATCGATCAGCCACGGGAAACGCAGTAAACAAAGGATACCCACCCCATGCGATGCTGTTCGTCTCCTTCTCCTCGTGAACAAATTTCATGACCTCCCAAGCTCTGCATCCGTCTCGACAGCTTCTTCGCTGGCCAACAGAATTTCTCATAGGAGGTGTCCCCAAGGCCGAAAACGGAGAAATCCGTGTCCTCGAATAGGTCGTTTGGGAGATCAGACCTGAGTAACATGTTCCATAACGAAGTCATAGCTCTGGGTTCAGCTCCCCAGCCAGTGGTCGAAACTACGAAGATGACCAAGCGTTCCAAGATCAATGTTTCCTGCACCGGACCTGAATATTATGCTGTAACGACTGAAAAGCCGCCTACTAGTGGATACGCATCCATGCTCTTCACACGACAGTGAAAATAGACTCTTCGACATTCCCTCGCAATGCGATCAGCAGCCTCTTGAGCTGTACCTGTTTCCGTAGCGTAAATAATCAAAAGTTCGCGAGACGCAGATGAATGTTGATCATCTTCTCCTGTTCTATGGTCACCGTGTGTAGACATACGTTGGATGATCAAAAATTTCAGCTGTATGAAACGAGAGCAGAACCTGACCCTAGGGTTAGGGCGTAGCTATTTTCCCGCGCCTCCCACGGTCGTGACGCGGATGCGGCAAGCCTTGACGCGGCCACTGGCGCACCATCATGATTAATGCAAGTATCCCTATATGTTCTACATTTGATTCTTAGATCAAGTTGCATGGGTTCACGACCACCCCCTTGTTATTTTATACATCATAGGGATATGCACAACCAGTACATCATCAACCAATGACTATTTTATTTTCCTCCTTTTCTGGATCCTCAGAGTCTGTGGAGCACGTCGGGCGCACATTCTTCAGCCGGCAGAGAACTACAACTTAGAATTCCAACTTCAGCAGCATGGACTATTGTTCTGTTCCTCGTTTCGAGCTTTGACGCGTTTTTTGAAATCACTGGCCTTCAATGAGCAACGAGAGTGACAACGTGCACCAAAAGCATGCCACCGAGCCATTTTTCGACTTGACCAGAAGCATCAAGAACACTCTCAGAGAACTAACCGTTGGGCAATTCTGGCATAAATTATGAATATACCCAACCATGAAATAATGTCAAATTCTTAGTCATAATATGCACGACAGTACGGTACTGCGCCGTGGACATATGCCAATGTCATCAATACACGATCATATTGATATGAATGCTCATTTTCATGGAGCCAGGCGGTTCATAGCAGTAATGCGGGGAGCGCCCCAAGTGTCGATGACGCAGACTTGGGCATGGCAGCTTAGACTTAGGCGCTGCTATTGTGGCGCACCTGGTATGCAACTAAACAACCCATACAAGCACGCATCCTAACTCGCCTCTGCGTCCAACAAAACACATCCTTCGATTCGGTCTTTCATGCTAAGTGTGTGGACATCGAGTTCTATTGAAATTTGCTGGTGAGTGACCACATGTATTATACGCTTTAGCCAAAACCACTGAGGCAAAAGAGGGATAGACCTGCACCAGCGATTGCTGTCCAGCGAAATAAAGATTCGTGCTATTGAAGAACGCTATAGAAAAAGATCAGAGCAGAGCTGGACTGTGTAGATAAATTCGCCGCGCATCATCCATAGCTCACCTGACATGTCAGCGGTCAAACCACAAAGGAAGATTACAGGACAAAAGGAACCAGTCTGGGGCATTTTGTACCTCCCAGATGGACGGCGCACTATCACCTGTTCTGACGACGCTTCGTTGCGAGTATGGGACTTGGAGAGTGGCAAGCAGCAAGGCAGAAATTGGGAGGACAAAGGCAGTGGAACAATGTGGGCCATAGCGTTGTCGCCGGGCGGCAAGGAAGTGGCAAGTGGGAGTGATGATGGAATAGTGAGATTATGGGACATTGAGACAGGTAAAGTCACTGCAAGATGGACAGGCCACACTTCGGAGGTGTCGTCTATCTCTTGGAGTCCGGACGGAGGTCGACTGGTGAGCGGATCAAACGATGGAACAGCAAGATTGTGGAATGTCGACAGCGGCGAGACCATCCTTGAACCAATCAAGACTGGGCATATATACGTGCGCACAGTTCACTATTCACCCGATGCAACAATGATTGCAACGGGCGGGCACAACAGCGTCAACGAGGGCTCGGTGAAACTCTGGGATGTCAAGACAGGCGAACTACTCAAAAAACTCAAGGCAGACATGCCAGTGCTTAACGAAGTTTTATGTTTGGCTTGGTCTTCGGATGTCAACACAATTATCTCCGGGTCACTTAATTTTGAAGGCCACTCCCTTAGAAAATTCGACACCGCCACTGGGACACAAACTGCTGTGCTCGAAGGACATCAACATCTTGTTAAAGCCCTTTCATTATCTCCCAATAACCGTATCCTTGTGAGCGCATCATCTGACAAGACAACGCGACTTTGGAACATTGAAAACGGTCAGCCTATTGGACCACCCCTCCTCCATGAAGGCGCGGTGAGATCTGCGGTCTTTTCTCCTGATGGCAAACTGCTAGCTACTGTCTGTGATGATCACATATACACATGGGATGCCGCTGCTATCGTCAAGGAAGCTGGCTTTGGTAAACTTCTGACTGTGAGTTTGGTTCCTGTTTCTTATCGATCACATTGATGACATGGCATGTGCCTTAGACCTCCGCCCCAAAGGTATCTCAACTTTGAATGTTTGAAAATGATGTGTACTGATCCGTATTATCTCAGGTTGGCGGCATGTCAATTTTAGAGGTAATGAGTCGTTTCTTTAAACATGGCCTGCTTTTATTCATTTTTGTGCCAGGCGGATGCCACACCACGTCGAAATCAGAAGTTCTCGGATGCGCATCGATTGCCGCCAGGTTTTTTCAATGATGTACACGTTGGCGTGAGTTTCCGGAATCATGGTCCAACATATTAATGACAATCAAGTTTTCAGTCTTCTGCAACGCGTCGTCCCCCTCCCCGTCATGGTCGTGGCAGCCGTACAACACCCTCATCATCAGGTACCATCCTTGGTCGGCTTTCCTCGCTCTTCCCACGTTTTGACCACACTACGCCTCGTGTCGTTGAGGTGCCCACCGTCCAGGATAGAAAGGTATGTCTACCTCCGAGTTCTGCCTGATTCGATGATAATTCGCTTCAAAGGCCTTGTATGTCTCCCCACCGCGCCAGAAAAAAAAACTTTTGCAAGGTACCCACACTCAAGGCCAACAGCAACAACAAGGTCAATCCCATGGCCAGGCATCATCGTCTCGTCCTCCCGTGACCTCTGCTACCACAGCATCCACGACATCTGCAGCTGTTGGTGCAACTCCTGCGTCTGCAACTGCAACACCGTCGCGTCCTGCTGTCAACAGTCTCATCGGCCTATGGACTCGCATAGTGCTCTGTATCTGCTGTGTCTCTGTTGACAACACGAATGGCCATAATTGATGAAGCAGCGTATCATCACTTGCATTACTTCTCGTTATGTGCTGACGTTCTTGTCTATTTTACTACTATTTTTCCCCTACCAACACTACTATGCAGTACTTCATGGTCAGATTCTCTAGGTGCAGTCTCCCTGTGAATGATCAGCAGTGATGATATACAATGATCGACTATTACTGTACTTATGAGTACGGGGAAAGGCATCAGTCCTCGCAAGACCTTAAACTCAATTACGTATTGCATACATTACTCTTGTCAATACAACAAAAATCGAAAAAGGCTCTATATCCATATTGCGCATGAAATGAAATAAGAGAATGTCGAAGAACAAAAGCAGCACAAAGTGCCACCCACTGGCATAGCGGAATAACATCCAGCATGACACACTCTACAAAGGGAACCCCGTCGGACGCACCGCCCCCGTCTCCGACTCCACATACATACCATACGCCATCTGTATCGTCTCCCCATCAAGGCCCCTTATCCTAAGACACTTCCCAAATAACTTCTTATCGACCTGATACTGAATCCGGCTCGCAAGATGCTGCCCGCCCACCAGATCCTTGATCACGCCAGCAATGAGCCGTTGCTTATGCACGTTGATCAATGGTTCCAGCTGCATTGAAGGCGGGAGAGGCGTCAGCGAATCGAATACCTCTGGATGGGCTGGAGATTCGAAATTGACGGTTTGGGAATCGATGCCGACGGGGTCGTGAGGTGAGGTTGGGTCGATCAGATCTGGGAGTCTGCTGTAGCGGTATAGTTGAGAAAGATAGACCCCAATGAATGGGACGCAGGCTGATGGCGTCTTGGCGTCGTGAGAACCTTTTGATTTTCCCGAGGGTAGGTCTGTGCTGCTGCTACTCAAGACCGTAGACGTCCGCGTCGTCACACTCAGAGTCTTCGGGTCTGCCATAGCAGCGATAGCATCGCGCATAGCCTTGAAATCATTGTCCGGCGACACAAATTGCTTCAGCTTTTGAAGCACCCCGTTCTCCCACAACCTCACGCGTCCCCAATGCCGATGCATAGCCTTCACGACCCACTCGTTTTGCAAACCGGTGATGATGGCTGCCAACGTATTGAAATTACTCTGGACGTATGCTTTCTGAAACACGTCGCGCAAAGTCAGATTTAAACTAAAACATCATCGAAATGCAAACTCACCAAAGCGACACGAATGAACTTGCCCACCAACATCGCCCTATCGCTCGGATGCGTCATCACAATCTCGGCAACCACAAAATTCGCAAGCAAATTAAACCGCCCTCGAACAGCAGCCAGTGCAGTCGTCTTCTGGCTCCACCGTGACTCGGCCTTCCAACGCGCCCGGTCCTTGAGATACTGTGCCCAATCCAACACATTCACCTCTTGACACGACATCCAATCGTCCATGATCAATTCTTCAGGCTTGACCCCCAAGAAAAGCTCTCGGTCGATCATCGAGAAATGCTGTACGATCGCGTCAGCGCTCACGTTCAGGATCCAGCTTCGGTGTTGTTTTCGACCAGGAGATATGAATTTGGATGGAGAGGTTATTATAAAGGGGGATGCTGTAGGCGAGCCGTGGGACGTAGATGGTCTTGACGGTACCCTGCTCTGCAATATCTCAAGTGGAACAGCATCTTCAGGCGCAGGTTTCAAATCGCTCATCCTCACGGGCGGTGACGTCGGTCCCGACCCTCCAAACATGGCTTCCACCGTTCTAGTTGTCAACTCCGAAGCCACCGAGCTGAAGAAGCCATCCGTCGTCGTCGTCGTAGCCCCCGAAATTGTCACCTGCGATCCAGTGCCCACAAGAGTCTGCTCATCCACCCTCAATACCCCAGTCTCGTGCTGATCGATCTCATAATCCTCCTCTTCTTCCTCATCCTCACTATCCAACGCAAAAAACCTCGGCTGCTCATCCCCGAAATCACCCACAGCTATCCGCTCCTGAATCGTACGTACCCACCCGTCCACCTTCTTTGCTTTCTCTTTCCGCTTCTGAGGATTGATCTGGCCTTCAAGACGTTTCAGAGCCTCTTCGACGCCCCCATTATCCTCCTCGTCGCTCAAGGAATCCACGAGGGCGTTGACCTGCCATTGCTGGATACCATTCCCCAATGCAGCTCCGACAGATGCAGACGACACAGCAGATCCACCCGAGGCTATCGAGTCCCGAGAACGAATCCCCAACGAGGAAACGCTGTCCACCGACCGGCGTATGAACTCGAAATCCCGCCTAAGAGGCAGTCGACGCGGGGGCTTGCGCAGACCTGGTGGTGCGGGTGGATTTTCGCCATGCACCTCAGAAGAGGTATCTGAGAGATCTAGATCGTCGATGGAGACGACATCGAAACGCCATGGTGGTTGTGCCTGCACTTGGGCGACGAGTGGGTTGATCCGTGATCGTGAGGATAGGATTGAGCCGAAGGAGTCTGTTGAATGTGTGCGCGTGGACGCGCGGGAGACCGACGATATGGATAGGCGCTTCTCTGGTGTAGACTTGCGTCTCTCCTGAGTAGACTGACGTTTCTCCTGTATCGACACGCGCTTATCACTCAAAGAACCCACCGCCACACTGTCCCGCTCCTCCTCTTCCTCCACCTCCGTAACAACCCGTAATTGCGTCTGCAGCGATGACAGGTCTAGCTTCGCCTCAAGCCCTTTGACTGTACTCTCCACCACACTCTGACTCTGCTTCCCAATCACGGGGCACGCACCCCCATCCAACACCTTCTCTCCTTTACACCCACCCACACCCGCTGGCTCAATCATCTTCAGATACTGCTCAACACCGCCCCTGACCATCAATAGATCCCCCGTCGCATTCAACTCCAAATCAAACGCCGAAACGTTTGCAGGAACTGCAAGGCCCGTATCCACAGTCTGCCTCGAGTTCAACACTCTTTTCCATCTTCCCAAACGCCCGATTGTCTTCACGAATGCACGAGAGATCGCACTCTGAGGGAACACAATAGGAGGGGGGGAGCTGTTCGTAGGGGTGGTATCGCTTGTGGTAGAAGATGCTGCTGAGATAGAAGCTCGACTCTGCTGGAGTATGTTCATCTGCAACGGTTGTTGCAAAATCGCAGCAGCCCTGGGTGGAGAAGACACGCTGCCAGAATTGAACGAAAATGCGTGGCTGTTGTCGCCATGAAAGATAGATTGGGGATGTGCGGGTGGTTCGTCGGGTGCAAAATCGAGGTCTACATCAGAGTCGTCTTGCTGTTTGGAGGATATGGCTTCTGCAAATTTTTCTCCTAGGACGTGCGTGGGCCGGGGTCTGGTAGGAATGTTTAAGCTTTGCCGCGCGGAAACGGAGCCGGAGCGGTGTCTGCGGGTATGGGCTTCTTTGCAGTCTTTGACGACTTTAATGAGTTTCCTTACGATGTTCTGTGTTTCATACTTGAGCTCAAAAAACCCATAAAAGAGGGAAGACTCACCAGACCATCCTGATGTTTCTTCAAAATAGGATCCTTCACAAGGGTATTTAACCAACTTGCCAACAAAAGCCTCAACTCTTGGTTCGGTAAAAAATCCATGACGAAGAACGTTAAGAGCCAGTATCGGATAGCTACGAACGTCCGCACGCGCACGATTTTCCGTACCATATCATCTTTACCACTCAGCGCCCAGTGAAAACGACAGATGAGGAGGTGGCAGAGGTCGACGGCAGATATGTATGTTCGGTAGGTTAGGAAGAAGTTGAGTAGTTCGTCGTAATCAAGATCGCTTGTTAGCTGGGCGATCCATCGTTCGATCGTTGCTGCGATGAGCACCTTGGTGGTCATACCTTCCCCGTCGACACGCACTACAGGGACATCTATAGGCCCACGGCCCCTGCGAGAATTAGAAGGAGAAGACATTCCACCACGGCTGCTCTGCGACACTGAGACATCATCACCATCCAAATCAGAAGAAACGTGTATTTCCCCCCAGAGGACAAAACGGGGGTCATTACGGGGTGCAGCGCTATCCTCTGCGCGAAGAGACATTTTGATAGTCGTCTCCCCTGCAGAATCTGAAAACAGTCTATCCAGTTGTGGAAGACCGCGGTAAGTCTGGAGAACATCGAACACCTCTGTTGAATATCGGGAATGCATGCTCGTTTCTGGCAGTGGGATGAGTTCTGGGTCGGATGGGACGATGCCTGGGGGTGGGGAGGGGGAATAATCTTGGATGAGGTCGGGTGAGACACGGAGGGGGAGGATGGAATCAGGGGTATCTGCTCGTTGTGTGGTATCTCCTGCGCGAGCAGTCAAACCGGACTCAAACGACTGCATCTCCCGTAGTGCGCGCGGCATGGGTAAAAAACCATGAGAAGAAGGTCTAGTGGGCGATTCGAAAGTAGTACTGAGTCCAAATGGATGTGGGATGAGACCTGGTAAAGCGTTGTTTTCGGACTCAGAATTCGAAAATGGAGAGGTGGGTACGGAGCCGTTTGGCCATTGCATGACTTCCGCAAAAATGTCTGCGACAGGCTGTTTTGGCGAATCAGGGAAAAGCGCAGTTGGATGCGGACGTGGCATATCTGCACCAGTGACACTGTGTGAATGAGTCCTACCAGTGAAGGTGGGTTGTGTGGATGGGCCTGCGACAGACGAGCTAGCAGCCATACCGAACATGTCTGGAATAGAGCGGGTCCTTCGTACTAACTTGCGCGGCTGCGTGGTCGTGGAACTAGACTGAGATTCCTGGGCGGTGAACTTTACTCTATTCTGGGTGAGAAAACTCATGCGGGAACGGGTTTTGGAGGCACGAGTACGAGAGGCATCAACGGACATGGACACCTTGTGAGTCATTTGCTCTGCTTCCTCTGCAGCAGCGGCGGGAGCGACTGCATCGCGACGACTTTTAAATAAGGAAGTAACGAAATTAGCTGTGCATGGTGGCGATGACACAGGAGTAACCGCACCTGACACGATACATCTGCTTTCCGTGCTGATTGACGAAGGCGGTGATGGCGTATGGAGAACGGACATCTTTACCTACACCAAGAAATTGATCGTAGCGCCTCTTTAATTCTCTGGCAGCTGAACCAGATGAAGTCTCGACGAAGCTGCCATCAGCTGGTAAAAGATTAGAGGCATGCGGACCAACACAAATAAAGAACATACGAGCTATTGAAATGTCTGCAGATGCTACTTCCTGTGGGAGCGATTTCCATTCTGTATCTGATGTACGGGAGAATGAGAACGAAGACTGTGAATT